CAAGATTTTGTGGTATTCTATCGTTTTAGGTGCGTAAAAATCGCCCGAGGCTAGTTATGTGCGAAAAAGTTGCCTAATTGTTTAGGCTTTTAATAGAAGTATATTGTGATATATTTGTGTCAAATATTATAGATAACCGAATAATAAAACAAAATCAATTGTTAAATATATCAATATAGGCGAGAAAGTAACTTTAAACGAGCAGGATTTGCTATATAAAAAGCGGCCATCTGTACGTTAGAGTGGTTTTCCCTGAATCTCTAACAATAATTTTACCAAAAAAATATATATAAAACAAGTAACTGAGCTTGGTTGTAACTGATGTAAACATCGCAAATCTTTATTTTTTACTGAAAAGTTTTAATAATGCAATTGTTTAAAAACAGGTACATTAATGAAACTTTGAAACATTTTTGTAACTTTCAAAACATGTGATAAATCCTCCTGAAATCTGGAATAATTACTAAAATTTAATCGGTGATCTTTTTTAGCGCAATTTCCATTCTGGAGAATTGCGTTTATTAACCCGTCATTTCTGGATGTATGAATGGATGGATGTGTGTCCGCAGCTTTAAGTCGTATCTCCTCCTCAACGAAGCAATATCGAGGACTAGTTCCAAAGCAATTATGTTAAGCAAGTTACGAGGATGAACATAGGCCAAAAAAATTCCGGGTTTCTTTCATGGATTTCCCGGAAAAGCCAAAAAACCTTGAAAAAAAGCAGTTTTTGGCCCATATCTCGGCAACCAGACCACTTAGCGACTTGAAACATGTACCAATCGATTCCTGCCATAATTTAGAACAATATTGCCGAAGAAATTTTTCAAAAATATCCTTTCGTTCGGTCACAAAAATTTTTTTTAATTAATTAAAATTTGGACCGAATTGGTAGGCATGTTTATCCAACCACGCCACACGCGTCATCATGTTCAATAGCTGCGCCATCACGTTCAATGGCTGCGTCATCACGTTCAGTAGCTAGGCGCGCAATGGTTTTTAGTCATGTAACTCTATTGTAAATAAAACATGTAAAATACTGAAAACAAATTAATAAAAAACGTTTTAATAACTAACCAATGGTTTTACTAACCCTGCTCCTGATTTACGCTACGACAAAGCTATTTTTAGATAACATAAGGAAATTGCGCTTAAATGCCACTAGACTTTTTAATTAACTTGTTTAACATTAATAGTCTCGGTCGATTTTACATACCTAAAACGATAAATTACCGATTTTATTTACCAAAAAACGTTTTAAATAGAACAACACAATCATGTAAACAGAATACTACATGAATAGTTTTGGATTAGGATTTAGATTTGAAAAACTATAATATTTCTAAAAATACCACTTTTCATTTAACTGAAATTTTCATACAACTAAAGATTAGTAAAGGAAGTAAAGCTCTAGAGTTCACCTGTTTCTGTAACCTCGGCAGAGAAAATTGGGTTAGGACTATCTCCAGCCATATTTACTGTGTGAACTCAGGGACGTTCATCTGATTTGAACCCGGATTCGAACTCGAGACTTTCGGGTTAGCAGTCCAGCGCTCTACCGCTTGGTCACGGCGTCCCATGAAATTACCATATGGTCTCAAAAAATAATTAAACTCACACATTTTAGAGATGCGTGGCCCTTTTACTCAGTGGCGAGAAATGAGTCGTTCATAATGACAAGGACAAGCAATAAAATGTCATACTTTCAGTGTGTATTCTAAATGTCATAGTTTGAGTCGCACAAAGCATTATAAATTGTCAGGTCTAATCGAGTTCATGCGACCTATGGAAATGTTATATAACCTTGTATGGGATATGTGAGGGTCACAACTGTTGTAATATATCAGTGATCTCAACTGCTGTCAACAATAAATTTCAGCTCTCGGTCAGAAGAACGGACATGCACGGAGTTTAAGATGGACTTCGGAGTCAACATAGGAGTTGTGTGGGTGGTGGCTTCAGGTAAATATCTGTTACGCCCAGCCGCCTTTTCTTTCCCTAACGTGAGTCTGTAGAGTTGTGTGGACTCATGGGCGACAAGCGGGATAAAGTACGGGATCGTATATGGGTAGGCAGCATTGTTTCTTCCAGACGTTTTTCACAGGGGGGGGGGGGGGGGCACTGTTAAAAGTATATATTTTCTATATAATTTCCATTTCGTTCAGGGGACGGGGACGGACGGTAGACTTTCTTCGGGGGGGGGGGGTGGTGCCTGGAAGAAACTCTGGTAGGCAGTGGTGTGTATTCCCGTCCGACCACGCCGCCCCACTTAGTAAAATATGAGACCATATGTATTGTCTATTTAAGGAACTAGTCTAGCAGCCAGATATATTTCTAAGAAGTCAATATCACTCAACAGATAAGCGTTTAGGCTATTTTTACTTTCTCGTATATACGAAGTATAGAGAAAGTATTGTAATCGTGCACAAAAATAACATGAAAAAAAGAATTGCACACCAAGTGAACGCCAAATAAAATGTGCATTATAGTGCGGAATATTATTAGTACTTTATAAATTCACATGCGTTTTTTTTGAGAAATCGGAAATAGCGAAAATTACTACTTCCGGTCAACAGAAATTACTCAAAATTTGAAAGAAGGCAGAAAATTAGATCTTTTACTTACGTGTAAAATTTCATTTATCTATCTGAAATAGTACTCGACATAGGTTTTTGAAATTTTTGAAAAATTCAAAGTAGAAAAAGTTCCACTTCCGGCTATCGAAAATCGCTTAAAAGTTGATACAGATCTACGATTTTGATATAATACTTATATATGAAATTTCAACCTATCTGTAACCGTACGGTACTCAAGTGGTACTCAAGTTATAATATTTATATTATGTGTTTAACAAGAATATATATATATATATATATATATATATATATATATATATATATATATATATATATATTACACAAGAACATATATATATATATATTTATTTTATTTATTTATACATATACATATAATTTAAAGTGTGGGCATATTAGAAGGTATGCGTGAAAATATGGGTAACTATGTGAGGTTTTTTAAGTAACCTGTATTACAATGTCTTCCAAAAGTGTAATCAACCTATGCTAATTTTTCAACAGGTGACCAATGTAAACTCAACACTAAACAAATACTAAGTGACGACGATGACGACAAAGACGCAATTTTGATTGTGGTGGGCGTGGTTGCTGCTGTGGCTATTTTTAGCAACGTTCTGATGTGTTTGGTCTTCGTTTGCCGGGTGTGAGTATGAGATCAGCTGTTTGTAGTTAAAGGAGTTCTCCATTACTGACGTCACGTTTTTTTTGTGATGACTCTCAATTTCCTCCCTATCATCATAGATGCTACAAAACGACACTCCCACCAATCCTCACCCTAGCCTTTCAGCTCCCTTTCCCACTTCAGTTTTAAGATTTGTTTTAAAAGCGATTTCTTTCTAAAACATTATCTAAGCTTTCTCAATACACGGTATACTTATACTTTTGAATAAAGTGTATATGCCTTTAAATATTGCGAAATAATTGCTGAATCACTTAAGACACAAAATTGTGATGTCAAATTTGGACGCTTTATATGTTTATGTAGGCGTATCCGAATTATAATATTTTTTAAAGTTTGTTAATGAGCTGCTGAACCACAGAATCACGATAGAACAAAAGTAATAATTCCTTAATTAGTAAAATTAAAAGTTTAATAGACTGTTGTTTTCGTTATTTTTTTATTTTATTTTTTGAAAAACTAATTAACTAAAGCGAACATAGCAAGATACACTGACGCTGTAAATTACACGTCGGAGGCAAAAAGGAGTAAAAAAAGTTAAATTTAAGCAATTATTGTGGTGATTCTACAAATAGGCCAATTAAAATTAAATAGAAATCATCGCATTTAAATTATAACCTTAATGTTAATTGTCGTCACGTGGAAAATTTTACAGGAGCTTTTATTTTTCAATACAATCTGAAGAGAATTCAAAACTATTGACATCTGCACACGCTAACGCCACCCATCCGTTCCTCGCTTTATCTGTGCAACAACAGATTGTATTAATCCATAATTGGTTGACGTACATCTGATGTAAGGCATGTAATCCTACTTAAATCTTGGCGTCATATATAAACCCTTATTCAGAAAGATAATCTCTGTCCCTATCAAACAAGTCAGACAAAATACTTGACGTCAGATGTACAATGATAGCAAGCGCCGAAAAAATTACGAGCAACTTGACAATTTTAAGCTCGACTGTGAGCCACTTGACAATTTTAAACTCCACTTAGTACGCGGATGTAAGAGGAAGAAACATGTTAATTACGTCGTGTCGTGACGTATAGGGGGGAGGGTGGGGGTAGTCACTCTCACGACCTTTACAAAATCCAGAGAGTATAGAGACAAAATATCAAGAGACGAAACATAGAGGGAAGGGGTGGGGGTGCTGTTCATTGACCTGCAGTCAAGGTTTCTTGGAAGTAGTTGAACACGCGTCGCCATACTTGACACTACGTAGTCATAACTTACATGTCATCGCACTTATTTATTTACTTTTTTAGGGGGGGAGGGAGCAGAGTTTCTTCCAGGCATCTCTTCGGGGGGGGGGGGGGGGCAAAGTCCCCCGAAGAAAGTCTACCGCCCCCCGCCGAACGAAATGGAATTTATATAGAAAATATATACTTTTACCAGTGTCCGCCCCTCTCCCGGAAAATGTTGACCGCCCCCCCCCCCCCCCGGAGAAAAAAGTCTGGAAGAAACACTGGGAGGGAGAAGAAGGGGAGGGGACGTTGTGATCCAACGTTGTGGCGGAGCGTTCGACTGTTTACACGAAAGTATCGAGTTCGTGTCCCTGAGTCCATCCAACTCTGATGGGTACCTTCATGAAAATAAGGCGCCTGGGTAGAGTACTGATTACACTATTCCTTCGTATGCCGCGGTCAAAGGTGAACTCTACTTCACCTGCCCACGGACAGTCTGAACCGACACAGCGACAATTTGAACTTCGTTACCTCTCTAGCCTAATAATGTCGACTCTTGTTTTGATAGAAAACTCCCGAAGAGAATCGAGAAGAGACTGTCTCCACTGCTCCACCGAGGTGAAGGTCTGCCATTAGATGACAACTATAGTATTTTACAAACTCATCTACTCAACAACGTGAGTTCGATAACATCAATAGTTGATGCGATGTATTACATAAATAATTATATATATATATATATATATATATATATATATATATATATATATATATATATATATATATATATATATATATATATATGAACGATGAACGAATTGAGACAGTAATGACCAGTGGCGTAGCCAGGTTCGTCTCAAGGGGTGGGGGGTCCAATTTTTACTCGGGGACTAACTTTCGATTTGCACACCCCCCCCCCCTCAGACTTTCGATTTGCACACCCCCCCCCCCCTCAGACTTTTGATTTGCACCCCCCCTCATACTTTATATATATACCGAGGGGTCTATGGGGGGGGGGGGGGGTTATGACCCCCCCCTAACCCCCCCCCCCCCTGCCTACGCCACTGGTTATGACTTTATTAAATCCCGCAGGAATCATCGTCTTATATTGGCTCAGCCGCTGGGACGCCGGCCATTTCTAGTACTACGTCACCAGACTTCAAGTCTGCCGCCCCGAAATTTGCCGCAACAACCGGGACGCTACCCACCCCAAGGTCACCTGACTCCCGATCCGCCGGCACCAACGTGCAGACGACAGAGCGGGAAGAATACACCTACATAGCTCTCAGCGGCGAGTCGCTTACCCCGCCAGTGACGTCACGTCCGGGCGACAGCTCGCACCTGCTGTCTAGACGAGACAGCGCGTCACAACAGCGGATGTTGAAGACGCCCATGTCGACCCTGCAGCTGTCGCAGGCTAAAGGAGTGTGCAGGTCAGAGATCAGCATAAACCGTGCGGACCCACGAGACATTCAGGTCGCCCAGGGTCAGCCCAAGACCAGGTCGCCGTCCTTTGATGACATGTACGTCAACCACCAATCAGAGACCTACCGGAACTTCCCTGCGCATGCTCACAAAGGCAACACCAGGTAAGTGACACTAGAGGAAACAGGTCAACGTCGTGGTTTTAAGCTGACAGAAAATTTGTTTAATCTATATCAGTAACCCCCCCCCCCCCCCAATCACGGGCATTTAGAGATAAAGATTTGGATAGGATATACAGGTGAAAGATACGTTATGGTAGGGTTAGGGCAGTGGTCTCCAAACTACGGCCCGCGGGCCGGATGAGGCCCGCGAGGTCCACTCATCCGGCCCGCGGAGATCATTTTGTCCACGGAAAAAAAAAACCGTTTGTTGATGATGGCGAGAAACTTTGCCCAGAAAAATCAAAGAATGCCTGGAAGAAACTGGCCCCCGAAAATTGATAGTTAATGCGGCCCTCGGACTGAAAAGTTTGGAGACCCCTGGGTTAGGGATACGAATATGGATAAGGACGAGTTAGTTAATGCGGGGTAAATTGACAGGGAGGGGGGGGGGGGGGTTTCCTGGACCCGATTTTATCGCTATTTTCTTTTAATGCTATTCTGGACAAGTAGCAGATCCGCCAGTGCAGAATAGATCCGGTGTAACAAAACAGTATGGTGCTTAGGCGCACCCCGTCCCTCGACCCCTCCCCCCGAATTACTGACTCAACAAATTTGGACATTAAAAAAACGAACATTTACGTAAAGATGAGACTCTCTTACTTTTAGAATCATTGTTTCTTCCAGGCATCTCTTCGAAAGAAACGAAATTTATAATATTTATAAAGAAAATATATACTTTTAACAGCGCCTTCCCCCCCCCCGGAAAAAAAGCCTGGAAGAAACGCTGCTTAGAATGTATACAGTTATGATGCTATACTGCAGCCTATATGCACTAACTCCCACTGCTTGTCTTCTCTAGGTCACCAAATCTACCACCTTATGCCAACAGCAACATTCGACCACACCAACCACCACTAGCCAACAGCACAGTCTACAACAGCCTCAACTCCTTAGATGGGACGTACACACACCTGAAGCACGTGAACCCACCTGAGAGGGTCATTGATAATGTTTACGATGGGTAGGGTCATGTGACTTGGGTCAGGAGAGGGTCATTGATAATGTTTACGATGGGTAAAGTCACGTGACTTGGGTCAGGAGAGGGTCATTGATAATGTTTACGATGGGTAGAATCATGTGACTTGGGTCAGGAGAGGGTCATTGATAATGTTTACGATGGGTAGAGTCACGTGACTTGGGTCAGGAGAGGGTCATTAATAATGTTTACGATGGGTAAAGTCACGTGACTTGGGTCAGGAGAGGGTCATTGATAATGTTTACGATGGGTAGAGTCATGTGACTTGGGTCAGGAGAGGGTCATTTATAATGTTTACGATGGGTAGAGTCATGTGACTTGGGTCAGGAGAGGGTCATTGATAATGTTTACGATGGGTAGGGTCATGTGACTTGGGTCAGGAGAGGGTCATTGATAATGTTTACGATGGGTAGAGTCACGTGACTTGGGTCAGGAGAGGGTCATTGATAATGTTTACGATGGGTAGGGTCATGTGACTTGGGTCAGGAGAGGGTCATTGATAATGTTTACGATGGGTAGAGTCACGTGACTTGGGTCAGGAGAGGGTCATTGATAATGTTTACGATGGGTAGAGTCACGTGACTTGGGTCAGGAGAGGGTCATTGATAATGTTTACGATGGGTAGAGTCACGTGACTTGGGTCAGGAGAGGGTCATTGGTAATGTTTACAATGGGTAGAGTCATGTGACTAGAAAGTCAAGGACAGTAACTAGAATCAATACTAAATTTAAGTCAAGTTACAAAGTCTACAATGAAGACTTAAATTCATCATAGACTTGCTAGAAGCATTGATTAATAATTTTCATGTCTTGTTTCTATGTAGGAGTGTAATTTTTTTTTTTTAATTTTTTTTAATTTTTATAATTCTTTAACTTTTTTTAAATAATAAAATTTAACAGCAATATTGTGTGGGTAATGTAAGGCCAGAACTTGTGTAGCTTTTAAGGACAGATGGTCGGACAGTAGAGCGCTCAACTGTTAGACCAGAGTTCTCGAGTTTGGATCAGAGATTAATCTGTAGGATGTCCCTGAGTCCGCCCAGCACTGATGGGTACCTGACTCACGTAACAAAGAGTAAAGTCGGATGGGCATAATGATGACCACACTATCCCTTCAGATGACGAGGTCACCTAAACAGATAAACTATACAGTTGAAAAGCGTATAATGAAACACTTTTATGTAGGTTAAGTGGGAGGGAGGGGGAAGTAAAAATGTTGTGGATCTAATTGTTTGAGATTATATCATGTTCTGCAGTACAGATGTTTTAATCGTTGGGGTAATAAATGCAAGAAGTTTAGACCTGTGATTTCTAGGCCTTTCAGTCAATGATTACTGCAGATTACCTGGCATTAACATTTGATTCCTAACTGGGAGTAAGCTTTAAAACTCCCAGAAATCTGGCCAAATGGTCAGTAACTTACACCCAGTTTTCCTGTCAACAACAAATATAGGACCATTTGGTCTCAATATAAGGTATAAATGTAACAGTGCTAACCTCTACACCACCAAATGGTCTCATTATAAGGTATAAATGTTAAGGTGCTAATCTCTACACCACCAAATGGTGTCACTATAAGGTATAAATGTAAAGGTGCTAACCTCCACACCACCAAATGGTCTAAACTATAAGGTATAAATGTAAAGGTGCTAACCTCCACACCACCAAATGGTCTAAACTATAAGGTATAAATGTAAAGGTGCTAACCTCCACATCACCAAATGGTCTCACTATAAGGTATAAATGTAACAGTGCTAATCCCTACACCACCAAATGGTCTAAACTATAAGGTATAAATGTAAAGGTGCTAACCTCCACACCACCAAATGGTCTCACTATAAGGTATACATGTAAGGGTGCTAACCTCCACACCACCAAATGGTCTCACTATAAGGTATAAATGTTAAGGTGCTAATCTCTATACCACTGGCTACTGTTATGTAACATCATCGTCTTATGACTCACCAAAAATTTGGAAATAAAATAATGAACACAATTGTAAACACGTGTGCTGGTTTAATTACATATTAATTACACTGTAGTACAACTGTCCAATATTGGCAAGCAGCTTTTATCAAGACTAGTGTGCTTCTTCCTTCTTTTGTGAATGTTCTCTTTAATCTGAGATGTGGTGCGATATTCGGTGAACATATTGGTATGACAGGACTGCTTCCTGTTAACCCTAGACCTATAAGGTGGGGAGGGTGGGGCTAAAAATAGATCCTGTGACAACTTCCTGTCTCCCCACCACCTGTAATGTGTGGGCTGTGTACACAAGTTGTGTGGGTGACATGGAAGCTTAAATTCCCCAATCCTTTCCAGAATGAAAAAGTTAATGGCAGATATACCTCAACACTCACCAGGTAGACAGAGGTGTAGAATCAATACTGCCATAACGCTCACAATTTATAAATGTCCTTGGTGTATAGTCAGCAACAGCTAAAGTTGGGGTCAGTTTGTAGCTGTTGCTACGCTGCCATAATGCTCACAATTTATCAAGGTCCTTGATGTATAGTCAGCAACAGCTAAAGTTGGGGTCAGTTTGTAGCTGTTGCTACGCTGCCATAATGCTCACAATTTATCAAGGTCCTTGATGTATAGTCAGCGACAGCTAAAGTTGTTAAAGTTGGGGTGAGTCTGTAGCTGTTGCTACGCTGCCATAACGCTCACAATTTATCAAGGTCCTTGGTGTATAGACAGCGACAGCTAAAGTTGTTTAAGTTGGGGTGAGTTTGTAGCTGTTGCTAGCATCAACTTAGTTTGAGGGCTTTGATCATCAAGTTCCTTGGGGATAGAGCATCATCAAATATGGGAGACACAGTGATATGGGGGTGTCCCTGCTCGACCAGCCACTGGACTCTGTCCAGGTAGACCAGGGTCTCTATCACAGGCTGGAGGACAACCTGCAGACACTGGAACAAAGGGAGATAAGTGTCAGGTTCAGGGGAAATAATCGGGATATTTAAACAAGGACGTACAAACATGGGAGATAAATCTGAATAACATATATGATATGATACTAGCTGTGATGCTACTTTCTTTACCAATATAGAAATAATCACTAAATGTAAGTTTTAAAAATGAAAGTGAAAATAAAAATCTAAAATAAAACAAAAAATTATAAACACTGTAATTAAAAAGTTTTAAAAGTTTACCGTAAATATTTCAATCATGTCGATTTGCTTGCTGTGGTTTTCATAAAGTTCCATTAACTTCAACCTCTCCGCTTTATCAGCTACAAACATATATGAAAAGTTAAGCAACAAAATTAAATTATATGCAACAATTACTAAAGGTTTGAGTTCAGTGAGAAAAAACAGCAACTAAGGTATGTTTTAAAACAAACTGTTTATAATAAAATTGTTTATTTAAAATGAAGTTTATTCTAATTAACGGATTAATATTTTTGGTGCTAAAGCAGAAATGAATTTTTAAAACTGTTTGTGTATTGGTTTAAGTTCGTATTAATACATTTTCTTGTAAGTAAATGTTTCTGTCTTAGTATAAATATAAACTAATAATGGCCACACCTTCAGGTGAGAAGTAGGAATCCAAAAACGTAGAAAATGAAGAAAAGTCACATTTTCTTATTTTCTTTCTTACAACAGTAGGGTCACACATATCTGAAATATATCAATTTTAGAGTTTTGAATGGTGAGGTTTTTGTTGAGAAAATATGAAGAAAAAAGTGTGAAGTTTAGTTTGGTTCACACCAATAAAAGTAAAAGCTTACCTGTCTACAAAGAGGTGAAAATGTTTACCTGTCTACAAAGAGGTGAAAATGTGTACCTGTCAACTCGAGTAAACCTCTGTATGCCACATGCCTTGTGTGGGCGCTATGCTGCTCTACAGTCTGGTTCTTCCAGCTACACCTGGGAATCATCACATTGACAACATCAGTTACCACAGTAGATGAACACAGCAACATCTGTTACCACAGGTAGACGAACACATTTTTATCTCAATGAGATAAACAGACACAGATGTGCTAAAATGCTGTTCTATCAATTTTTACCTGGTTTGCTGTGCGCCAACTCTGAGAGTGTAAGGTGAAATCTGCCAGGCTGGATAGTCTTGTCTTGTCTCCGTATAAACACTGCGCACTAACTGACTGATGGGGAAATGTACAAACTGACCTGTCAATAAAATTGGTTTCCAGGAAGGTTACATCTTGGTTATAGCTGAGAATACAGACTGTTGTCGATTGTCAAAATGTAATTAGCATTAAAAAAATGAAGTACTAAAAACTCCCGATCAACTTAACTTTGTTAAGCTGTGTAGTGGGAGTAGATATAATTTACTAATTTTCTAAGAAAAGTTAATTTTTGAACAAAAAATTCTTACAGCTAACATTTCATGAGCTACTGAGGCTGTTAACCACCAAAATTGAGAATGTAAGGGGAAATTGGCCAGATTTTTCATTTAATAGTTAACATTTGAAAGAATAGTTTTCAGCTAGAATTATTAGCATTCAATAAATAATGCAGTTAAAATTATTGCCATATTATGCAAAGTCTCAATTATAATTATTAGTTGTAAAACAATAAGTTAGGAATAACAACCAACCATTCTTGTAGGCCATCTTATGATAACAACAACAAACACAGCACACAGCTTTGACACACTTTAGAGATGTGTAGATAGTGAGCAAGGAAGTTGAAAGGTCACCACAGCAATGTAGGCCAATTAAACACACAGCAGGGGAGGTCATCTCTTCTGTAGAGTCTTGTAACACTGTAATACATAGGTTACCTCCCATTACATAGCTTATCTCTAACTAATATCTCGAATATCATATTTTACTTTATCCATTTTTTTAGACACTCATTCATTATGCCATAGAAGACAATAAAAGTCTATTTCAAAAGAAATAGTTAAGTAAAAAATAGTAACCTTAGGCATAACTACTCTATTGATAAATGCCTCGTATAGAAATTAGCAAGGTGGGCTCAGGAACATCCCAAAGATCTTAGGAGAGATCAAACAGATCAGAATTCATATCTTGAATTTCTTTTGTTTGTAACACTTAACTGATTCACCATACTATGTCATAAATAACTTATTTGCACACTTTACTTTAAAAAGGGGTAACACATATCTAGTTAGTCTACTGTTATTAATTTTAATTTAATTACTGTACCTGGCTGACCCTGACCTTGGTGCGGACACTTGTTATTCACCATTGAACTCATCTTGTTGATCATCTCCTCCAGCTGACCCAAGCACTCAGCATCATTGGTCAGTTTAAACTTGACGCTATGAATACCTTCACAATTTATCCCTGTAACAAATTTTTAAAATTACCTAGCACAAATGACTAAATAATATATAGTTATTCAAATTTAGGGTGATATTGTTAATGACTAAATACATCAAGAAATGTACACAGCTCTAAAGTCTTGAGCTTTAATCCTAGTTTGAGTTTGAAAAAAAAAAATAAAGTCAATCCACTTTGTTGTATAACCTACAAAACCCAATTAGCATTTTGGCAAATCATGACTGTCTGTCACCTTTAACTATGCTTTGATCACTATTTTGATAAATATTCTAACAACTTTAATATAAAAAAAAACTTTTTTTTACAGCTAATCCTGTATATCTTTAACCCACTTTGGTTTAAGGCTAAATCCTGTATATCTTTAACCCACCTTGATTTAAGGTTAAATCCTGCATATCTTTAACCCACCTTGGTTTAAGGCTCTAGTCTCAGCAGATGAAATATGACTGTCTGAGATCTCAAGGCCCACAACTCTGTGACCATAAACTTGGTGTAAGACATGATCAAGATAGCCCTGTAGGTACAAAATATTACTGTCCAACTTTTATGCCCTTACAGCAAAAATTTGTCTTAAAAAAAATAATTTTAAAATGGTTTTGTTTTTTCACATAGCACTACCTTTTCTATGAATTAGATAAATTTACAAAGTTAACAAGTAAAACTGTAAAGAAAATATTTTTAACAAAAGTTTCAAGCTATTTAAACTTTAAGTTTTAGGATATATACATATATATTATGAGAAGAGCTTATTTCTAAAAAAAAATTGCTCAAGAAATTAAGTTTAAAATGGTTATAAAACATGCTAAAGCCAACTTACAAGACCAGAACCAACATCCAGAATTAAATTACATTTTGTTTGCTTCATGACCTCATGAATGAAAGGGGCCATTATTGATACTTCATGGACTTTCTTTGGGTTCATCCCCCTTGCCATGTTAGTGTCAAGGATGAGTGGAGTGATTTGCTTCACTTGGCTCTGGTTAAGTGAAAGCGCTGTAGCTTTGTGAAGAAACTTGTGGAGGGTAGGTGGAAATAGTGGATGCTGAAAGAAAAATTTAAAGATGTAAACTTTGTTACGCAATGGTTTTGTAACAACTATAATTAGCTTTGTAACAGAAAAATTATTTTATGGTAATAAATTATGAATAATAATAGAAAAGATTTACTAGCTATATTATCTTTTCACATTTGTGCCTAAGACACATGGGGCAGATGAAGTAAAGTTCATCTGTTTAAGTGCCCTCGGCATATACTATGCCCAGCAGCCTTTGCTTTCCCTAACTTAAGTTAGGTACCCATCAGAGCTGGGTGGACTCAAAGACTTTCTACTGACCTGAACCAGGTTTCAAACTCGAGGCTTTCAGGTTACCAATCTAGCCCTGTACCCCTAGGCCACTCCATCCCATTATTTACTGGTGTACTGTTTTAAACACATTATAGTATAATCATTTTATATATGTGTATAATTTATGTTTACCCTAACTGAAGAGTCAGTTCCAAGAAAAGGGAGATTATTGAGTTCCTCTGTAGTGAGTTGTAGTAACTGATCAGCCCACTAAGTAGAGAGAATAAGTACACTTTTCTAAGACAATGGTTTATGTATACAACACAAATAATGGAATTTTCAACCCCGTTGCCCTTTCAAAGATAATCTGCTTTTTATTTTTTAATGCGTAGGCCCTGCTACTGTATTAATTTTTAATGTCTCTCATAATCATATAGATCTAAAATATGTTGTTTTCAAGATATATCAAGATATCACCAGTATTCCCTCGCCATCAATAATACATTGCTAGTAAAAGTCGTGCATTATATTAAAAATTAAATCTGGAGCCTTCAAAAAACTGAGCAAAGACATTAATATAGATAACGAGGTTCTGCTTTTCTACACTACAGTACGCTGGCTGTCAAACGAATTGTTGTGAATCATGTTTTTGAATTGAAATCTGAAATCAAATTGTTCTTGGAAGTGCAAAGGAAACAAGACCTTTTGGTATACTTAAAATGACATAGAGTGGTTGGAGAGAGTATCATATCTGGCAGATACATTCGAACATCAACATAAGCTTAACCTGAATCTTCAGGGAAAATGAACGAATATTATCACTTTCCATGATAATCTCGGGGCATATTTATCAAAGCTGTAAAATTGGCGAAAGAATAAATCTTGGAAATATTGTAAATTTGAGAAACTCTGCAGTGTGGTAGATGAATCTGATTGTGAGATAATTAAAATTTTGAAAGAAGCGATTTCTGGCCATCTTGAATTTCTTGAAAACGAACTGCGGTGCTATTTCTCTAAGCTAAAAGAAGAAGAATCTGCATTGACGCATTACACATTCTCTTCTTCCCTTGATGTTGCCAGCATTCCCGATTACAAGAAGAATTATTTAATTTGTAGAATGATTCCGCATAAGATGAAAAACTGCACACACAATTTTGGTGTAGTATTCACCATTCATACCCAAACGTAAAATTGATTGACTTTTCGAGAATAGATTTTCAAAACTATTCTCCGATTAAAAATAAAATTAAGAAATAAATTGAATGTTCATAATGACATAGGTTGGCGTTAACAATAACTTAACCGCGAATGTTTAGTAAATAGCACGTAATTTTACTCATCGTATTGAACAGTTATCAAGAGTAGTTCATATTGAAAGTCTTCTAGAAAATCTTATTTTAGTGCTTATTAATTTCCATACTAATTTCGGCTTTTTAATTTTATGGGGGTCGCGGGTCACTAAAAAGTGTGACTGCACTACTGACTACACTACAGTCTACTCAGTCTACAGTCTACAGACCTCAGTTGGCATTTTTTTCAAACATCCATTCTTGAAAACATCTGTCAGCGGAAAATTATGTATGTTTTCATATTTAGCTAAAAATGTCAAAATCTTCCTTATGGGTAGGTCTAGATCTAAATCTAGATCTAATTCTGTTTTATCCATTTCAGTAACTAGATCTACTAGATCCATCTACTGTCTACTAGACTACTACACATCGTTCGGATGTGATTTAAAACTGTAACTATTTGTAACAGCAGGCTTGACGGAAACAAACCTGTCTGCTTTCGCTTTCTTTTTCGAAAAGCTTCGGTGTTTTTCTTAGCCATTCGCCTAATTATTTTAAAATTTGAAAAATGCATTACGCGTATTGAATCTAGATCCAGGTAATTTTTAAATTATATATAGAAATCTAAACCCTAATATGGCCATATTTTATCTAGATCTATAATGCATGCTGCTTGTTTTATGTCATGTCATGAGTTCATCTATCATTGAAACCGTACGAAATAAAAGTAGGCTAGGCTTATCAATAAACCTAGATTCTAGATCTAAACAAATGGTAGCTGCAGTGAGGTTAATGTAATTAGTAATAAAACTATATGTTTTATTACTGATTCTAGATCTAGAACAGAAATACGACTTTATGAGGCCTAATCTTTTCTTGGAATAAAGAGATACTTTAGCAATGAAAAAAGAAAATTATAACAAATTTTTAGCAGTTATTTCACATTAGAACATACATTTTTGAAACTACAATAATAGTTATTTATTACATCTAGATTTTAATATAGATTACGATTTTCAAAATTTACTTGATCAAAATATGTTGTTTTTTGTGCACAAATAATTTTCTATGCTAAGGGAAACAATTCAATTAATAGTTTCGATAAATATAACCATAACTGGGTTATATCCCCTTCAAGAAGTTAAAGACGTGGGTGGTTTCTCCTTGCACCCCCAACACTCCCCCACTCGGAGCACGTCCATCGACCAAACTCTATTACCCCCCCCCCCCCCACACACACACACACAACAGAGGAAATAGAACAAATCGTTTTTTTATAGGTGTAACACTCAATGGGGATGCTTATTACAATCTGAGGTGTTGTGTTTAAAAGGGCTGACCCTGAGAAAAAGCACACAATGGAACGACGCAGGTGTTGTCAACTACTGGCTTCATTGACTTTAACATCAAGCCATAAATGGCGATGTAGAACAGTAGAAACACAGAAGAACAGAGTAGGCAAACTACTGATGTCCGAATATACTGCAGAGAACAGAAGAACACAGCCAAAAATGTAGAACACAGCAAAAAACTGTAGCCCTAAAACAAATGTAAACAATAGGTTACATCACTGGAAATACCACGTGTAGGCTACACAAATACACGGGTGTAATAAAATATGTTACGGCCAGTACACAGTACTGCAAACAAGTACCAATAAGTAGTACAATAATAAATTCTTAAATACTTAACCTAACTAGTATGCAACATGCAGCACTAGCAGGAATATACAAATAAGTATTCTAACAATAAACATAATTTACATTACCCCAATACCTTCATTAGGTCACATGATCTACCTATAGGAAACGTCACCCTTCGTGTCCACAGCAGCCTTGGGTCTGACTGTGTTACATAGGAAACATGTAGGCTACTTTAACTTTACCAAACTGCCCATTTTCAAAAGCCCACCACCTCAGAGAACAATATCAGAAAGAAACCCTCTTGGTCATTTTAGGTGGGGTGGAGATGTAAAGATGGGGATAAAATAAGGATTGATGTCATTTATGGACGTCCCTGAGAAGGACAGAACAAAAGTCAATGAAATTTAACTCTTCTGTTTCTGATGCTGTGTTCACTCCTTTAACTCTTAATACTCTCATACACTTGTACTGAAGACAGAAATCACTTTTTGTTTTAAAAAAGGTATATTTTATTATAAACATTACAGGTATAATATGTAACATCAATGAATAGTATGCATACAACAATAATTGCAACCTTAGCATCACACCAAATAAATACTTGAAGCACTGTCATGTTTCACTGGAACTCAACAAAACTATAAATAATTATTAAAAGTCATGTCTCTATTATTCTTTAGTCTAAAAATAGCCAAATGAGAATTAAATTAAAATTAATTGAACTGATTCTACTGTCATAACATATGTTCACACATGTCCAGGCACATCGGAATTTTAAAATCTAGTTAAAATTGCAAAAAAATATCAACATTTTCACCTAATTAGTCCAAATTCAAGCATAAATAATTATGATAAAATAAATTAATATTCTTTGGTAATACAGAAATTTGATACACTAAATCTACAGCTAAGTGTGAATCTAGTGATGAATATTCAATCAGTGAAATAAATTAAGTTAATTAATTATTTTTGGTGTGAGTAGAAGTCTAAGTTTCTATCAATTATAAAACTGGAATAGATTGAATGTAAGGACATTCAGGTGGGTGGATGCACCTGCCGTCATGTAGGACTTGGTTGGGCAGACACTGGCAGCCTGGTACACAAGGCTTGAAGCAAGTCTCTGTCAGGTTCTGTCCTGAAGTCTGGATGCTCTCACACGTTCTGGGGCAGGCTGATCCACACTCGTCAAATATAAACCCCTTGCTGGCATCACATTCAAAGGCTGAAAATAGATGGCAACTATAAGAATTCTATTGACAGTAAATAATTTTCTATGTTAAAAATTAATTTCAAGAAACAAAAAGTAAACACCCCTACAACTTGATGTTTTACACAATGATCATATATTTAAAGATAAAAAAATCAGAAATTAAAGAGTTAAACAACTAAGGTATTTCAAATTTATGTGACAAAATTTATATATTTATTCAAGTGACCTAAGATATATATTAAACAGTAATTATTAGACTTACTACAATAGTTGCTTGCTCATCACCACCTGATAAAACTAGGGTAATTGTGCTAGACTTCCTATAATATATGCTAGGGTAACTGTGTAATCTAACACCACATTTACACTTGCCAATGTATACAATACATGTCTAGAAAAAACAACTTCGCCATAAGCAAATTTTGTCAACATGTAAGGGGACTGCTAAGTTTTTTTTTATCTAGACATGTATTGTTTTCATGTCACAAGTGTAAACGTGTAATCTGTGTTCAACTCACCACAGTAGTCACTTGACCTCCAGTTAACCTTAACCCCTGACCTAGCACACTCTCGAGCATATGCAGACACAATGTCACATAAACAATGGGCACTGTCTGAGCATATACACAGGTCATGGACACAGGCAGTAAAATAGGGTTCAGGGGCCACATCTTTGTGGCACTTGCTGAACGTCTCGCTCTGTTGGCAAACATCAAACTGGTTATTGATTTTAAATACAAATCTACAACTGTATCCTACGTGTAAGATAAAATATTAAGATTATGAAGACTTAGGTCCTTAGCATTTCTAAGAGCATTTAGTCTCCTCCAACCTTAATGATGGCACATTCAGTTGTTGCTATCTTCCTGGACCTGTAGCCCATGGCAAGACAAGGGTCATCATCTTGTCCTTCTACACAGTTGCTGTCATCTGTTTTGACCTGGTGTTTTTATAAAGTAAATCATAAGAGATCATTGATAAATTAATGACTCTAATCTGAAATTTAGTCAGCTAGACCTACGATTACCTGTATTTATGATTAGCTAACTTCAAGTTTTATATTATCTGAATCTTTACAGTTGAAGGGATTTTTAAAATAAATGTTTGAATAATTCATAAATTAAAAAAAAACAAATGTTTACAATCCAGCTGTTTCCGAAATGTGCGGATGAGTTAGTTATGTGGCTGGAGCGCGTTCTCATGTCATCCTGGGGGAGGCCATTGAAATTTCCACACAGGCCACACAAGTTTTGCATGAAGGAACCTATAACAAATAATTTAAAAATTTCCACACAGGTTTTGCATAAAGGAACCTATAACAAATAATTTAAAAATTTCCACACAGGTTTTGCATAAAGGAACCTATAACAAATAATTTAAAAATTTCCACACAGGTTTTGCATAAAGGAACCTATAACAAATAATTTAAAAATTTCCACACAGGTTTTGCATAAAGGAACCTATAACAAATAATTTTAAAATTTCCACACAGGTTTTGCATAAAGGAACCTATAACAAATAATTTTAAAATTTCCACACAAGTCACACAGGTTTTGCATGAAGGAACCTATAACAAACAAAAAATTTCCAAGATCTGTGTCTAAAATCAAATCATAACAGCCCTAATTGGATAGTTAAATTGATAATCCACTCAAAATTAAATTGTGCGATGAGGCAAAAAAAATATTTTCAATTATTTTAAAACAAAGGAAATTATCACAATGCTGCAGTCATTTGAATACTAAAAAAATAAGACATAAATGTTGATTTTAGAAGTAGTGAGACAAAGTTCATTACATTTATATCAATCAAGGTACTTTTAAGCACAAGCATTTTCAAAAGTAAAAAATTAAAACTAAAACTGTAAAGATGTATTTTTTGTGTAGAAACCCTCACCAGGTACAGTGACCTCCCCATAACCTGAGCCATCCCATAATACCCTGAGACCAAGTTCTGTGGTCAGCAGCAGTGACCTTGAGGACACCTCCAGCAAAAAGTGGGGCTCGTATAAGTAGGGTACTTTCACTGGCTGTTGATTCACCTGCATTGAGACAAATACAACGTCATATTTGCTGCACAGAAAGCTGAATGGTTTTATTAAACAGATAATGTCTAGTTAACGGAAGACATTAAATAAAAAGAACCCCAACTTACCCTGACTTTCCTATCCTGCAGTAAATCAATGACTGCTCCAGCAATATAAATGGTCAAACTTTTTACCCATGATCCTTTGGGGTGGGTGTGTCTTTTGCTGTGTTTCACATCTACTCTGTTACACGCATGAACATGAACATTTTTATAAAATAAAATAATTTTTAAATTACAATTATAAGCTTAATACTTTTAATAGTGAAACTTTCTGTTGCTGTGTTGAGTATATAAAGACAGTTTCAACTAACCTAAAGAGAGCAGCATCCCCACAGTCAGAAGCCATGACATACTGACATGTGCCGTGGAAGTGAAACACTGCCCCATCAAAGGTCTTGTAGTGAGGATCACCAAACACCACACATGTAGCTGGCCCTGAGAGTAAAAACATGCACAGATCTATAGAGAACATTCCACATTCCAGTAATCTTGCGACAACGTCAACAGATTCTGTTACATATCAAAATTTAATGCAACCCTACACTTCTTTCCCATTTCAATCATTCTCCCACAACTTTAACAGATTCCATTACGACTTATAATAATTAAATGTTAATTAAATTTAAACAAATCCACTTTAGATAAGTCATAAACTACTTCATAAATTACAATCATAAAGAAGTTTCTAGAAGGAAGAATTGAGAAGCTTACGTTTCATGCAGACTGGGCAGCACTGCCCAGGTACAGTGACATGTGTCTCTCCACCCCCACACGGAACTTGTGGACAGGAGCGCACCTTGCACACCACACCTGGACCTTTACACCTGCAGGTCGTGCACTCATCAGCTGTCCAGTTCTGTCCTGGCTGTTCATTAGAAATATCCTTCAGTTTTAATAATCAGAAAACAGTGTCAACATAGCCTTAACCCCCTAGAACGAATTTCATGTTCCAGTAATCAGATAGCTATGAAAACTTAACATTTGATTGGAACATAAATAAAGTTAAAACTTCAATTAATTTTTTAAAATGATGACAATATTCAATTATGGAGAGTTAAAAGTTTTTCTTCTTTTTTATTTTTTACAGCTCAGTAATAAATATCTTATAATTGTTATTTATTTGGTTTTTGTAATAGTAATAGAATTTTATGACACATTTTTCTTTACCTCATAAACAACTCCTTCATAAAAACAAGATTGATTTGTTAAGGGCTGACAACTCTGGCAACACTGTCCATCAAGAGTTATTGCCCTCTCATTGCTTCTACATCTCAGAGGTCGACAGTGTCTAGAGGTACATGTTACACGTCCTCCCTGATTAAAAACATCAGAAGTTACAAAACATCAGAAGTCTCAAAACATCAGAAGTCACAAACATCAGAAATCAAAATCAGAAGTCACAAAACATCAGAAGTCACAAAACATCAGAAGCCACTTTTGGTTATCTTTGACTAGTTAAAAATCAATCTACATTTATGTATAAAATTAAAATTAAATCAATCTACATTTATGTATTAAATTAAAATTTATAAGCTATATTAACAAGATAATCAGTATAAGACCAAGCTAACACTGATGTTTAAAGCAAGGCTTTCTAAAGCCAAGATAAGTACAGTATTAATTTCTATTGCATTTTTTAATTAATAAGTAAAACAAAGTCAGGCTTAAATACAAATTAATTACCAGCAAGTGATCTAACCATGGCTAAAATGTTAATTGACGGTTAAGACGTGACCTTACCCTACAAGAGCAATGTCTACATGGGTCATTGGCTGGTCTCCAGTGAGTTCCTTCATGGTGGTACGATGAGTCACGCTCATCAAAACAAGCTAAAAAAATTATGTGGGGTGAGTTTCAAGAGATGGTGAAAAAATTATCAGTCAAGTTCCATATTTTTAAAACTGATCTACCCATTGTCAGAGTAATTAGAGACTAGTTCCAGAGAGGCCCAATACCAACTTATTAAAACTAATTAGTGCTATAAAATATTGATGAGGATATCTAAATGAAACAAAGTTCATGTATACTATAAGAGAGTAGAAGCTAAATCTTCATACCTGGACAACTGGGGCAGCATTGGCCAGGTGTATGTACCTGGACATCAGGAGGACAGTTGAGTGGTGGACATTCTTCTTTCATACAAAACCAGGTGTTGTCTGCCTGCAAGATTTGCATTCATTTCTTGACACAGACCCATGAAATTTGATTTTATTAACAATATATTTGCATTTAAAAATCTAGAAATAATGGGAAATCTGGGTAAAATCATTTCCCGATTTTAATCTTATATCATAACAACATTGAAATATTTTAAAGAGAAAAAAATATTACTGTGCATTCACAAAAGAAACAAGGGTCATTGGGTCTAGGCCTGGTGATCTGCCCTTGTTCTGCTGGGTTACAGCCCTCACTGACTGCAAATAAAATTATCATTAATTATTACTCTATTAAAATGGTTCCCAGAAAGAACCGCAACGGAAAAAAGCGCAACGGAAAAAAGCGCAAATCAAAAAGCGCAACGGAAATAAGCGCACACGGAAAAAAGCGCAAAGAGAAAAAAGCGCACACAGAAAAAAGCGCAAACGGAAAAAAGCGCAAAGAGAAAAAAGCGCACACGGAAAAAAGCGCAAAGAGAAAAAAGCGCAAACAGAAAAAAGCGCAAAGAGAAAAAAGCGCACACAGAAAAAAGCGCAAACAGAAAAAAGCGCAAACGGAAAAAAGCGCAAAGAGAAAAAAGCGCAAACGGAAAAAAGCGCAAACAGAAAAAAGCGCACACGGAAAAAAGCGCAAACGGAAAAAAGCGCAAACGGAAAAAAGCGCAAACAGAAAAAAGCGCACACGGAAAAAAGCGCAAACGGAAAAAAGCGCAAACGGAAAAAAGCGCAAACAGAAAAAAGCGCAAACGGAAAAAAGCGCAAACAGAAAAAAGCGCACACAGAAAAAAGCGCAAACAGAAAAAAGCGCAAACGGAAAAAAGCGCAAACAGAAAAAAGCGCACACAGAAAAAAGCGCAAACGGAAAAAAGCGCAAACAAACAGAAAAATGCGCAACCAGAAAAAACACAACGAAAAATGTGCAAAAGAGAAATTTAGCACAAAGACCATATGGACTAGATGACACATTTATACATGACTGTTAGGGCTGCTGTGAGAGTGTCGTGTTTGATCACGTGATCTACTACCATTTAAAGCGTACCACTACCATGTGCATTCCCATCACCACGATACATGCGATAATCCTATTATTTTCTTGGTCAATAATTATTCAACTACTATTCTCGTATAAACATAAAACTATCGACATTACACGAAGTATCTTTCACATTCTCCCTATTCCGAACTACCTAGCTTGCATACTATAACAACCCGTTCCTATGGCAAAACTTCACTCTCTTTCATCCGCGTCATCAAACATGCATTCGTCATATCTCTCGTAACAACATTCATTCGCACCACAATAACAATTATGTATTTAATATTTTTTCACATCATGACGCACCTACCTATCTACCTACTACCCACCTCCCCACCTACCTACCTACCTACCTAACTACCCACCTACCCACTTACCCACCTACCCACCTACCCGCCTACATACTTACCAAACTACCCACCAAAAAAGTATCGGCGAAGTTCGTAAGTTTCGTAAACTGTACTAGACATCATTTTTTTTTAATGAAAATTCATTGACATCATTGACATATGTTACATATATGTTACATTTTGCGACAACCTTAATTAGTGCGTTGGGCTTGTATGAAAACTCACTTCGAACTAACTCAATTACATGCTATTTATTTTAACATTACACGGTAAGCGTCACCCAACTGTTGTGATGTGAGGTGAGGACAGGTTCGACAATAAACCAACACGAAAGCACGAAAGAGACATAGATTGCCTATAAGAGAATGGACCCCTTAACTTTCCTAACCCCACCATTTATTATACCCTACCTAGCCTCTAAATTTACTGCGCTAAATGTCACTTCCCTCCCAATCGTTCCTATTCTACAGAATTGTGTATACAATTTATTTAAATTCTTTAATCTCAATATAACTAAAATAGACTTTTGTTTGAAGGGTAATGAAAACATGTAATCAAAAGGGACGCTACTCTAAATCTATGCGAATACTTATATGCAGTGGCGTAGGCAGGGGGGGGGGGGGTTTAAAGCGTACCACTACCATGTGCATTCCCATCACCACGATACAGGCGATAATCCTATTATTTTCTTGGTCAAGTGGGTAAGTGGGTAGGTGGGTAGTTAGGTAGGTAGGTAGGTAGGTGGGTAGTAGGTAGGTAGGTAGGTGCGTCATGATGTGAAAAAATATTAAATACATAATTGTTATTGTGGTGCGAATGAATGTTGTTACGAGAGATATGACGAATGCATGTTTGATGACGCGGATGAAAGAGAGTGAAGTTTTGCCATAGGAACGAGTTGTTATAGTATGCAAGCTAGGTAGTTCGGAATAGGGTGAATGTGAAAGATACTTCGTGTAATGTCGATAGTTTTATGTTTATACGAGAATAGTAGTTGAATAATTATTGACCAAGAAAATAATAGGATTATCGCCTGTATCGTGGTGATGGGAATGCACATGGTAGTGGTACGCTTTAAATGGTAGTAGATCACGTGATCAAACACGACACTCTCACAGCAGCCCTAACAGTCATGTATAAATGTGTCATCTAGTCCATATGGTCTTTGTGCTAAATTTCTCTTTTGCACATTTTTCGTTGTGTTTTTTCTGGTTGCGCATTTTTCTGTTTCTGTTTGCGCTTTTTTCCGTTTGCGCTTTTTTCTGTGTGCGCTTTTTTCTGTTTGCGCTTTTTTCCGTTTGCGCTTTTTTCTGTTTGCGCTTTTTTCTGTGTGCGCTTTTTTCTGTTTGCGCTTTTTTCCGTTTGCGCTTTTTTCTGTTTGCGCTTTTTTCCATTTGCGCTTTTTTCCGTTTGCGCTTTTTTCCGTGTGCGCTTTTTTCTGTTTGCGCTTTTTTTTCCGTTTGCGCTTTTTTCCGTTTGCGCTTTTTTCCGTGTGCGCTTTTTTCTGTTTGCGCTTTTTTCCGTTTGCGCTTTTTTCTCTTTGCGCTTTTTTCCGTTTGCGCTTTTTTCTGTTTGCGCTTTTTTCTGTGTGCGCTTTTTTCTCTTTGCGCTTTTTTCTGTTTGCGCTTTTTTCTCTTTGCGCTTTTTTCCGTGTGCGCTTTTTTCTCTTTGCGCTTTTTTCCGTTTGCGCTTTTTTCTGTTTGCGCTTTTTTCTGTGTGCGCTTTTTTCTCTTTGCGCTTTTTTCCGTGTGCGCTTATTTCCGTTGCGCTTTTTGATTTGCGCTTTTTTCCGTTGCGCTTTTTTCCGTTGCGGTTCTTTCCGGCCACCATTAAAATAGCCATAGATTATGCTATTAAAATGTGCATTAATTACTCTATTAAAATTAACATTAATTATTCTATATAAATTGCCATTAATTATTCTATTAAAATTGCAATTAATCATTTCTATTAAAATGTGCATTAATTACTCTATTAAAATAAACATTAATTATTCTATAAAAATTGCCATTAATTATTCTATTAAAATTGCAATTAATCATTCTATTAAAATTGCAATTAATCATTCTATTAAAATTATAATTCATTGAAGTGCATTTTTAATTATCATCTAGACGGATGAATGTTTAATTGATTTGTTTGCTATGTATTCCATGTTTTTTTTTTCACCATTCCTGCTTTTAACCATTCAACTTAAAAAGTGTGTTACAACTACATTGGTCTCTTACAGCTCTCAACACAGTGGGTGCAGCAGATCCTAGGGACTGGTCCAATGAACTTTGGTGGTGGACATGTGATTGACACTGAACATGGTTCACGCCGTGTGCACTTCAAACGACCCTGCACACACTCACAAAACCCGCAGGGATCACGTGCAGGAATAAAAGACTCCCCTTCCTGATACACATGTCCTTCATGACTACAGCCTAGATGAAGGATAAAAATATTTCACAGGCATTTCTCAGACAAAAAAATAATTTTTTAGTGAATGATTGCTTCCATCCATCAACTTTATACTGTCATGTTTTCTAGTCATAGAATATAAATTTATATTTCAGTTCTGGGGAAAAAATAATCAAACAGTTGAGCAAATGTAAGCTACAATGAAATGATTAAAATCACAAGACATACAGTAGATCACCAGGGAACCTGACAAGGGCAAGTAAGTAAACACAACTGGACACAGCCAGGCCCTCAAAAAACAATTGTTCCTATACCAAACTAAAAGATGCAGGAGAACAACTCTCCTACTGCCAAGCAAACAGCCAATGCTGAAAAAGGTACTTTCACTTTTTCTTTATTATCTAAGATTTGTAGAAAAATTGTTTGTTTACTTTCAATTTTTCTTTACTAAGATTTTAATTGTTTGTTTACATATGAGGCCATAAAAAATGTAATTGTAAAGTTGCCCTTTCAAAACCAGGTGGCCCATGAGGTAGATGAAGTAGGGTTCACTTAAAGTGATAATGAGGTCAGTACTATACCCTTTACTTTCCCTAGCAGTAGTCAGGTACCCATCAAAGCTGCGTAGACTCACGGATGTCCTACAGACTTGCGCCCAGGATCCGAACTTGAGACTTTCAGGTGAGCAGTCATGTGCTCTACTGTTTGACCACACCAGCCCATATATATAACCAAACTAGTTGGAATTCTAACTCCATTCACCAACTGCCAATTACACATTTACAGTAACTTACTAGGACATTCTCCACAACACTGTCCAGGTTTTTTGATGGGATCAGAGCAAGGCGTGTAGCACTGTAGAGTGGTGCAGTTCACTTTGCCAGCCTGGCATGTGCAGGTCACACAGCTGTCATCAGGGGCCACCCAGGTCTCATTCTCTTCATACAGAATCCCTTTGAACGTGCATCCTGGTCACACATAAACATTATTTTTATTTATCCAACTGTTACATTATTTATTTAAATAAAATGTGCAGCTTACATTTACATTAATTATTGCAATAAAACATGCGGCTAAATTATACATTTAATTATTTTTTTAAATGTTACATTAATTATTACAATTAAACGTACAACCTGGTCGTATATTAAAACTATTTTTATTTATCCAACTGTTTCATTAATTATTACAATAAACGTACAACCACCAATCAGCATTTATTTACAAATATTAGCTATTTTAGAACTGATGAAATCAAAGCACAGAATACTTTTATTTACCTCTGCAAACCTCACAGCATCGACCCTCCACATGTATTTTATCAGCACATGTTAACACTGGGCACATTTTTTGTTCACAGTAAATATTGCCGTCCTGGAGAAATAGATACCATTAATACCATCTATATACTAAAAGAGGTTTTTAGTTTTTTGTAACACATTTGTATCTTAACTTTATGTATACAGATATCTGGTAAGGGGAGAACATAGTTTTATATCACACTTTTAGTAGAAAACTTTGTCTAGTAGGATGGTAAGAAGTGGAACCTGTTGTTCAAAATGTGTGAATTGAAACTTAAACATTGGACGGGATATCCTCCAACACAATTATGTGTATTACATGTCAACTGGATATGCACCCTATAGGCTGCTGTCTCTGATTTCAGCCTTTTTGGATTTGCTTCCATAGCCTTTGTTCAACAAAGAACAAACTACAAGACAGCAGTTGTTTAATTTTGGAGTTGTCTCTCCTACAAGAGTTTCTGTCCCCAGCTATTGAGCCTCATTAGCCTGGGGGTTCGAACTCGACCATGCCGACTCCTAAAAGTGACTTGAAGGTTGGAAAAAAAACTTCAATCAGCTTTTTAACTTTTCATATCAGAAGTGTCATATAGGCCTAATTAGTGTCATCTAATTGGTGTCATCTAATTAGTGTCATCTAATTAGCGCAGGACTTACATTACAAGTACAAGACCTGCATGGGTCAGGATGGAACTGCTGATGGTTGTTGTACACATGCCCCTCAAAAGAGCAGCCATCACACCTTGGGCAGCATTGACCAGCTTCTCTACGTGGATTACTGCATGCCACAACACACCTTTTCCTATCACAGGTGACATTTCCTGCCTATAAAACAATAATAAAACTTTTTCGGTAAGATGATAGTTTACTAAATGGAAACTGAAATTAAATGGTAAGTTCCAAAAATAACCTACCATACAAGTGCATGATCTGCATGGATCTTCTGGGTGAGTGAAGAGTTGCTTCTCTTGGTAAGTCAACCCCAGAAAAACACAGCCTGGAAACATAGCTTTAGTTGTTAAAAAAAGACATTTGTGTTAAAATATTAATGGAATAAAAAGAGGGAAACAAAAGGAAAATTATTTAATTTTAGAGTTGTAATTAATTCTATTTAAAAATTGTAATTAATTATATTTAAAAATTGTAATTAATTCTATTTAAAAATTTAATTAATTCTATTTAGAAATTTAATTAATTCTATTTCTAATAAACCGGGAGTGATCTCCTCTAAACTTTCTCGAATATTCTTATATAAAATAACGGGATGGGAACTCGGGCTATAGACATGATTTTTAATCCATTTTAAATACTTAAAGTTTTAAAAATAGAATAAAATCTCGTAGACAAATTAATTGCACACCAAGTGAACGCCAAATAAAAAAGCGCATAATAGTGCGCAATATTATTAGTACTTTTAAAATTTACATTAGTTTTTTGAGAAATCGGAAGTAGCGTAAATTACTACTTCCAGTCAACGAAAATTACTCAAAATTTTACAGAAGGTAGAGAATTAGATCTTTTACTTACATGTGAAATTTCATTTATCTATCTGAAATAGTACTCAAGTTATAGGCTTTTGAAAAATTCAAAGTAGGAAAAGTACCACTTCCGGTTATCGGAAATCGCTCAAAAGTTGATACGGATCTACGATTTTGATAAAATACTTATATATGAAATTTCATCAACCTAGCTGTAACGGTACTCAAGTTATCGTGTTTACACACGGACACACAGACACACACACAGACATACGGACAAGATTGCAAAATTATGTTTTTCCGTATCAGTGAGGTGTAAAACGTCGAGATCTGTAAAAATCTCGATTTTTTTTTTTGCACGATTACAATACTTTCTCTATACTTCGTATATACGAGAAAGTAAAAATGATATCTTACTTGAGCACACAGGGCAACACTGTCCCTCTATACGTGTAGGACTATCACAGGGAGCATCAGCACAATGTGTTGTCTCACATTTGACTGTGCCTTGCTGGAATAAAAAAAAGGTTTAAAAACATTAATTACAAGGTTGAATTAAAAGCCTTAAAAATATTTTTTTGCAAAATGTGTTTAAAATCTTGAATTTAAAGCCTGCAAGGATTAAAATTTGCTGCAAAAAATGAACACAAAATATTGTATTTTAAAGTCTTTTTGAACCCCCAGGCAGATGAGAGCAACTAAACTAGAGGAGAAAACTCAAAAATCAAACAACGGCTGCCATGTTGTTTGTTCTTGGATGGACAAAGGCTATGAAAACAAGCTCAAAAAGAAATGCAAGCTGAAATTGGAGTCAGCACCCTATATAGAGCATAACAGGTTGACATGTAATACTTAAATTAAATTGTTTTTGAGAAAATCCCGTGCAACATTACAACTGAGAACAAAGAAGAATAAGAACAAACACTAAGCAGTTGTTGGCTGTATTAGAGCCAGGTTGAACAACTGAAAGAGAACCTGTACAAACCTGACACTGACATCTCCTGCAGGGATCATACTGTGACACAAACACCTGATTCTGTATCCTGACCTGACCCTCATACAAGCAGTCGTTACACTGGGGACAGCAGCCATGGGTGGCAACTGGGTGCATGCAGGTCACGCTACAGCTGATCGTTGTGCAGGTTACTTTACCACTCTACAGAAATAAAAATATGTTTGTGTTACATTGCTTGAAAAACTCGTCATCTACAATTAATTCTCCTCTTATGAAATAAAAGAAAAAAATCTGTTTTTACTTAACAACCTTGATGCAAGGCGAGAAACAAAATTTTTAATTGCATTTTTAGATTTTAAAAAAATTTTAGGCCTATTTTATTTTAAATTATTTTTTCCTCAGCTAAACTCCAATCATTACAAATTGTTCCTATTAAATTTTTATTTTAATTAATATTTTTTGGGTTTTCAAATACTGTAAGTTTACATTTAAAAATTATAATTGTTAATTTTTTAAAAAAATGATGTATCCAGGAAATTAACAAAACAAACCAAGTAAAAATGTCTTACATTGCATGTACACAGTTTACAGGGGTTCTCCTGGTGAGGAAAGGACTGACCATCAGCCAACTGTTTACCTTGATACCCACAACCCCCACACACAGGGCAGCCGCATGGGTCTTCTGATGGGTGCTGGCAGACAGCTTTAGGGCATTTTTTCTTATCACAAGTCACTTCACCATACTGGAAACACAATCAATCATACGGTGAATAATGATAGCACATTATGTTACTTAACTCACAAGATCATTGAGGCATATTTAAAAGTGAAAATATTGATTAGAAAATATTAAACAGCAAAAAGAAAATAACAAACTTAAGACAGTTTCAAAAATAAAATAGAAAGTAAAGATTCCTTTTTAGACTTTGTGATCAATTGGGCAAATAAATTGTGTTCATGTTTCTTGACCTCAGTATATGAAGGGATGATGTGGTCAGCACTATGCCCAGCCACCTTTACTCTCCCCAATGTGTCAGGTACCCATCAGAGATGGGTGGACTCCTGTACTTCCTATGGTCACAAGTCCAAACTGGGATCCGAACTTGAAACCTTCAGGTTAGCAGCCAAATGCTCAATCATTCAGTCATGCCATCCCAATTTTTAAAATAGTTAATAGAAGGTAATCATGTTAAAATGTTCAAGTTTTTAAAGATTCTGGAATTTTCATGTAAATCCAATGGTGTAAGGAAATTATAATTTTGACTTACATTGCAAGTACAAAGTTTACAAGGATCCCTCAAATCTGGGACTGACTCAGCATTGGCAAGTTGTTTCCCTTGAAACCTACAGTTGAGACACTTAGGACACTCACAGCTGTCTTCAGATGGATGGTTGCACCTGGCAGTAAGACACGGCTTCTTTGTGCAAGTCACTGTACCAAACTTTGGACAAACAGTACAAAAATTATTGATGACATAAAAAAATAACAGTAAATATTTGAACAATCTGTTACACAATGTGATGTTTTACTACATAGAAAATGTTGAGTGTCATTATATTTCTGTTATTCAACATCCTTGCATGGATAAGGAATTTGGTAGACTTAGTTTTTAGTGATATTGCAATTTTCCATTATTTAATCTGACACTGTTTGTTGTCTATTTTAGATTGTTTCAATATATCTGATTCACTATGTGTCCTTTGAACAAGCTATTTTAATATAATAACACAGTTGTTTATGTTTAGGCAGGGACAGCCTGGCCTAGCGGTAGAGTGCTAGACTACTAACCAAATAGTCTCAAGTTCAAATCTGGGTTCAAGTCAGTAGAACGTCCCTAAGTTCACCCAGCTCTGATGGGTACCTGACTCATGTTGGGGATAGTAATGTCCAAAGAGGATTCTTTACTCTTTTTTATGTTTAGATAATCCATTAACACCTAATTAGATAATCTAATTACACAGTTTGTAAAATGTGAGTAACAAGAAGTAGAAATGCACTTACGCTGCAGGTACATTGTTTACATGAGTCTACAGGGCTTGGGAAGGTTTGACCATTGGACAGCTGATTGCCATTATAGTTACATCCTGTACACACACGGCACCCACAGGTGTCCTCTATAGGACTTTGGCAGGACACTACAGGACAACTTTTATCCAAGCAGGTGACTGTGCCTTGCTGATAACAGAAAAAGTTGGAGCAGTTAAAGAAACAAAACAGTTCTATTCCTTTACAGGGGAAATAAAATCTTCAAGGGGCGGTTTTTGTTTTAGTTCAAACAGCAAGGAACATTGTTTGCATGATGTATTGAAACACATAGTGTAGTCTGAGATAAAGCCTCACAGTGAAAATCACACTAGTCATGTGGTAAGAGTACAATTACTACTCCAAAGATAACTGCTGAGTTTAAGTGTGAAGGATGTCTCTAAGTCCACCCAACTTTGCTGGGTACCTGATACAAGTTGTGTAAAAGTAAAGCAGCAGCCCATCAATGACCTGACTAGCCCTTCATGTACTGAGGTTAGAAAAACAGAAAGGTTTACTTCATCTTCTCATGGACTGTGTCATCTAAAAGAGTTCCTTTTCTGTGTTGTATAAATCATAAAAATATCCTGAGAAAATATAGTCCTTTTTTTTAAAGCCAGAATTTTGAGACCAAAATTTTGACTTACGCTGCATTTACACTCCTTGCAGGGGTCTTCAAGATTTAAAACCATCTGACCATTGGTCAGCTGATTGCCCTGATACATGCATCCAGTGCAGACAGAACAGCCGCAGGAGTCCACAAGTGGGTGCTCACAGGATACTTCTGGGCAGGTCGTCCAACAAGACACTGACCCAAACTTGCAAATCAAAAGGAGATGGTTAAACAATACTAAGGTTTAAAATTAACAGCTTGTTTTGTGTAAAGAACTTCAATTTCATGCTTATCATTTATAAATACAAAACTACACAAAAATACATTTTTAGTTAATAATTTTAATCTTCCATGAACCTGCTGTTCTTAGTTTTCAAAAATATTGAGAAGGGTTTAAAGTTTTTTCTACCATTAACATTTCTATATTTAGCATTTAGTGACATGGAATTGTTGTGTAATAATGGTGAGTGATAAGGCCACAATGATGCCTTAGTAAATGTATGACTATGACATGGTGTATAAAGCTTGAAACACAAGGATAATGGAGTTCTGGGGAAGTGATATTACCAATTGATTTGATATTTTACAGGATTGATTACACAGAGGTAAAAAAAAATTACTACACAGAGATCAGTATTGTCTACTAAGATGTCAGAATTGACTACACAGAGATCAGGATTGTCTACAGAGAGGTCAAGATTGACTACAAAGAGATCAGGATTGTTTACTCAGAAGTTAGAATTGTCTACTCACACTGCATGTACACTGCTGACAGGGGTTAGCTGTGTTTGTAAATGACTGTCCATTGGCTACTAGCCTCCCCTGATACTTGCAGTCACTACACATAGGACACCCACAGGCATCTTGTGAAGGATTCTGACAGGAGACCACAGCACACTGCTTATCCCTGCACTTGACTGATCCTTTCTGGCAACAACATTCATTAGTTAATGGTAAAATTGGCCAGGTTTTTATCAAAATGTTTTTATAAAAATAAAACTATCAATTTTATTAAATTAAGTCTTTCAAATGTATATAACCATGCAGTCTTGAAAAAGAAAAAAAAATATTTTTAAGAACATCGTGACATATTGGAAAAGTTGAATATTATGGGATTTTCAAAAAGTTTTTCATGAAAAAAAATTAGAACTGTTTAATTTAATTGGGAAAATTTAAATAACTACCTGGCATATACATTCTTGACATGAGTTTTTGGGGTGCAAAAACTGATGTCCATTCGCTTCAATATGGCCAGCTATTTCACACGAGTCACACTCACAGCACCTGCCTTTTGTGGGGTGAGTACATCTGAGGGAGGGACACACTGGACCCACACATTTGATTGACCCATCCTAAACATGCAGATGTTGAGAGCAGCTTCAAATGTTTTGTCATACATCAAACATAGGAAAAACATTTTTAAATTTTGTATTCTAAAGGGAATTTAACTCTTATTTAAAATAGAATCAGTTCAGTTTATTGAGTTGAAGAAAACTAAATACAACAACAAAAAATAAAACAACATTGTGTTTCTTAGACAATCTTGTAAAATAAATCTGAGCTTGAATTATGATTTAAATTTTCAATAGTTGTCAAAAAAATAAACTTTTAACCAACCTCACAACTGCACTTTTGACAAGGATCCTTATTATGATCAAATACTGCCCCATTTGTGTATGTTACACCATTCTCTGTACAGTCTGAGCACTTAGGGCAGCAGCCTACCATGATGGGGTGGGTGCAATCAGTAGGAGGGCAGGGTTTATCTGAGCAGTGGACATTACCGCCACGACACGCACAAATCTAGTGGACAGTGTACACCAAAGTCAAACATTTGGAAGGATAAAATTGAGACAAGAGAAAAGACATGAAACAATACAGTGTCTTTTAAAGGTTCATGAGAATGAAATATAAATTTAAAAAAAACACTTCCTTTTTAAAATGCAATGTCTACTCTCTAGTCAGAGTAATATTTTACACCCGAATCAAATCCACAAGGAAAATCAGGAATGTTATGGAGATAATATGATGAGAGGAAGTATGTGTGTGTGGGGGGGGGGGGATTATTGTTGAATACTAACTAATTTGAAAGCAATCTATTCCAGCAAAATGTATTTTTTTAAATTATGCAACTGTTTTTTATTTGCTGCACATTTGTATTTGCATACATCTTACCATTTATTACATACATGATAAGCAACTAAAACAGGCTACAAAACTTATTAAAAGCATCAAGGAAATTGTGTAGCATGCATAAATAGATTGATCTGACCACAGAATAAAAAGTTAACCACTAGAGAGGATTGTAAAACTCACTGACCTGACACCTACGTTCGTATTGATCACCATTCAACACAACCCTCCCCTCGTGGAGGCAATCTTTCCCACACACAGGACAGCACTCCCCTGGGAGGGTGACTGGATGTTGGCAGGTCCCAGCCCCTGAGCAGTCCTTCACTGTACACCTGACTGTTCCGTCAATACAGGTACATTCTCTACACCTGTCTGTCGGGTGCCTGAACTTCTGACCGTTGCCAAAGATTCGACCATCGTACATGCAGCTAGAACATTCCGTGCAGCATTCTCCTTGGACTGGGTGCTCACACGACACATTGGGACATACACGGGGCTGGCACAGGACCTCACCATAAGCACAACTGGACATGACAAAAAATGTTAATGATAGGCTAAGTAATTTAGGTCATGGGTCTCAATAGCACATGACTATAGAAATTAAGAATATATCCAAAATAAGATAATCAGATATGGGACATCCACAAACGTTTTTTACTTTCCCCCATCCCCTTAAAATGGCGACACACTCTACTTTTTTTGTAAGGGGACTTAGCCGTGATATTTATAGTTTACCGAAAATATTGAGTTGTTTCCCATTGCATAGATCCCTTCACATCTCGCTAGCTAGGGTGATATATTATAATTTATTATATGATATAGCCATAAGAACTATTTACAAATTTAATGATGAAAAATTTTGCCAATCTTGATTAATATTAGATTCATTAATCCATGTTCCTAACAATAATTTAATGTAACATAAAGCTAAACTTAAAAAAAGCTTTGTGAATATTATGACTTGCCCACAGTTGATACAGTTGGAGGCTGGGTCAGTGAACCTCTCCCCACTCTTGTAGTCCTGCCCATTGATGTGACAGCCGGTACACTCCTTACAACAGCCCCTTGTTATTGGGTACCTGCACTTACCCAGGGCAGGGCACGGTTTAGGGTAGCATACCATACTGCCCTGGAGGGTAGGAGAAAATAAGAGAATGAATTAGATTCTACAGCAATACCAGTCAGCAATAACTACTAAACTCGCAAACTAAAGGTCAGTTCACAAACCAGTTTAAATGTCAACTCACATAAGTTATCAGGGTCTAGGACATCCCCCCCCCCCCCATCAATGACCCTGTACCAGTATATTACCTTAATCTTATCCTTAAGAAAAAGACCAAATCCTAAATGTAACCTAAAACGAATCCCAACCCTACATTAACCCTAATCCTGACTTTGACCCTAATCTATCTCTAACCCTAACTCTAACCCTAGCACTAATTTTTAACTCTAACGCTAACCCTGGCCCTAATGCTAACCCTTACCCTAGCCCTAGCCTCAAGCCAAACTCAAACCCTATCCTGGGGGGGGGGGGGGGTAATTTCCTACTGGGCAGGGGGGTGGGGGGTAATTGATAGTGGGGTAATTACTCAGGGGGGTAATGTCAGGCGAAATGTTTGGGGGTAAATTGACAGAGGGGGTACTGCCTTATTCCCAAGTTATCAAATAGAATCAGTTAGAGCAGCATATGTCATTAAATAAATCCAATTAAAGCCACACATGTCATTAAATAAATCCAATTAAAGCCACACATGTCATTAAATAAATCCAATTAAAGCCATGCATGTAATTAAATAAATCCAATTAAAGCCATGCATGTAATTAAATAAATCCAATTAAAGCTGTGCATGTAATTAAATAAATCCAATTAAAGCCATGCATGTAATTAAATAAATCCAATTAAAGCTGTGCATGTAATTAAATAAATCCAATTAAAGCTGTGCATGTAATTAAATAAATCCAATTAAAGCTGTGCATGTAATTAAATAAATCCAATTAAAGCCATGCATGTAATTAAATAAATCCAATTAAAGCTGTGCATGTAATTAAATAAATCCAATTAAAGCTGTGCATGTAATTAAATAAATCCAATTAAAGCCACACATGTCTTTAAATAAATCCAATTAAAGCTGTGCATGTAATTAAATAAATCCAATTAAAGCCACACATGTCTTTAAATAAATCCAATTAAAGCTGTGCATGTAATTAAATAAATCCAATTAAAGCCGTGCATGTAATTAAATAAATCCAATTAAAGCCATGCATGTAATTAAATAAATCCAATTAAAGCTGTGCATGTAATTAAATAAATCCAATTAAAGCTGTGCATGTAATTAAATAAATCCAATTAAAGCTGTGCATGTAATTAAATAAATCCAATTAAAGCCATGCATGTAATTAAATAAATCCAATTAAAGCTGTGCATGTAATTAAATAAATCCAATTAAAGCTGTGCATGTAATTAAATAAATCCAATTAAAGCCACACATGTCTTTAAATAAATCCAATTAAAGCTGTGCATGTAATTAAATAAATCCAATTAAAGCCACACATGTCTTTAAATAAATCCAATTAAAGCTGTGCATGTAATTAAATAAATCCAATTAAAGCCGTGCATGTAATTAAATAAATCCAATTAAAGCCGTGCATGTAATTAAATAAATCCAATTAAAGCTGTGCATGTAATTAAATAAATCCAATTAAAGCCGTGCATGTAATTAAATAAATCCAATTAAAGCCGTGCATGTAATTAAATAAATCCAATTAAAGCTGTGCATGTAATTAAATAAATCCAATTAAAGCCATGCATGTCATTAAATAAATCCAATTAAAGCCGTGCATGTAATTAAATAAATCCAATTAAAGCCGTGCATGTAATTAAATAAATCCAATTAAAGCCGTGCATGTAATTAAATAAATCCAATTAAAGCTGTGCATGTAATTAAATAAATCCAATTAAAGCCATGCATGTCATTAAATAAATCCAATTAAAGCCGTGCATGTAATTAAATAAATCCAATTAAAGCCACACATGTCATTAAATAAAACCAATTAAAGCTGTGCATGTCATTAAATAAATCCAATTAAAGCTGTGCATGTCATTAAATAAATCCAATTAAAGCCACACATGTCATTAAATAAATCCAATTAAAGCTGCACATGTCATTAAATAAAACCAATTAAAGCCACACATGTCATTAAATAAATCCAATTAAAGCTGCACATGTCATTAAATAAAACCAATTAAGGCTGCACATGTCATTAAATAAAACCAATTAAAGCCACACATGTCATTAAATAAATCCAATTAAAGCTGCACATATAATTAAATAAAACCAATTAAAGCCACACATGTCATTAAATAAAACCAATTAAAGCCACACGTCATTAAATAAATCCAATTAAAGCTGCACATGTCATTAAATAAATCCAACATTTCCTTAGACTTGCCTGGCGACACTGGCATTCCCCACACGGCTCTTTGACTTGTGGAACAACAGCGCCATCTCTCACAGTCTGGCCGTTGTACAAACAGTTGCGGCACTCCTTACAGCACTGACCTTGAACTGGGTGGGTGCACGTCACAGGTGGACACAGTTTCTTCGTGCAGGTGACATTACCTGGGAGAGAAATGTGGAGTTGACATTACCTGCTAGATTAAAGGGTGCAGTTGACATTACCTGTGAGAGAAATGTGGAGTTGATACTACCTTAAATAGACATTACCTGTGAGAGAAAGTGCCAAATGTGCAATTTCACTATTTTTTATATCTCCATGGAGCATTTGAGTAAAGACAAAAGCTGTTCTAGTTTATTAAATGTCTAGAAGTCAAAGACTTTTTAATATGTATATAAACTTCTCTAATACGTTACATTTGAAATCTATCATAAGTTTGTGATTGTCTGTTGAAATATATTTGTAGGTGCTCAACCTCTACCTTCAGAACACAGACACTCCATACAGCTGCTGGTACTCTGTGGGTGGGGGAACCTGTCCCCATTCTTGTACACCTGTCCGTCATACAGGCAGTTGACACACTCCTTACAGCACTGGCCCCTGGCTGGGTGCTGGCAGGTCAGGGTGGGGCAGGGGGTGGGTAGACACTCAATGTTTCCTGACTGGCAGGTACACCTTCTACATCTGTTGCACAGTTTGAAATCAGAGTACAAAATTGTGGCTAAACATACAGACATACTGAAACTATTACAGTAAAGTTATATGTTCACCTATTGAGAACAAAATTTAATGTAATAAATTTTATTTCAGAATAAGCCTAACTCCAGTAGTTTGAAGCATGTGGCTATGTGACATGAGAAAGTTACCTGTCATAATCAGCAATCTCTGCACCATTCTTGTATGTCACACCTCTATATTCACACTGAGTTACCTGTCATAATCAGCAATCTCCGCACCATTCTTGTATGTCACACCTCTATATTCACACTGAGAAAGTTACCTGTCATAATCAGCAATCTCCGCACCATTCTTGTATGTCACACCTTTATATTCACACTGAGTTACCTGTCATAATCAGCAATCTCCGCACCATTCTTGTATGTCACACCTCTATATTCACACTGAGTTACCTGTCATAATCAGCAATCTCTGCACCATTGTTGTATGTCACACCTCTATATTCACACTGAGTTACCTGTCATAATCAGCAATCTCCGCACCATTCTTGTATGTCACACCTCTATATTCACACTGAGAAAGTTACCTGTCATAATCAGCAATCTCCGCACCATTGTTGTATGTCACACCTCTATATTCACACTGAGAAAGTTACCTGTCATAGTCAGCAATCTCCGCACCATTCTTGTATGTCACACCTCTATATTCACACTGAGTTACCTGTCATAATCAGCAATCTCCGCACCATTCTTGTATGTCACACCTCTATATTCACACTGAGTTACCTGTCATAATCAGCAATCTCTGCACCATTGTTGTATGTCACACCTCTATATTCACACTGAGTTACCTGTCATAATCAGCAATCTCCGCACCATTCTTGTATGTCACACCTCTATATTCACACTGAGTTACCTGTCATAATCAGCAATCTCTGCACCATTGTTGTATGTCACACCTCTATATTCACACTGAGTTACCTGTCATAATCAGCAATCTCTGCACCATTGTTGTACGTCACACCTCTATATTCACACTGAGTTACCTGTCATAATCAGCAATCTCCGCACCATTCTTGTATGTCACACCTCTATATTCACACTGAGTTACCTGTCATAATCAGCAATCTCCGCACCATTCTTGTATGTCACACCTCTATATTCACACTGAGTTACCTGTCATAATCAGCAATCTCCGCACCATTCTTGTATGTCACACCTCTATATTCACACTGAGTTACCTGTCATAATCAGCAATCTCCGCACCATTGTTGTATGTCACACCTCTATATTCACACTGAGTTACCTGTCATAATCAGCAATCTCCGCACCATTGTTGTATGTCACACCTCTATATTCACACTGAGTTACCTGTCATAATCAGCAATCTCCGCACCATTCTTGTATGTCACACCTCTATATTCACACTGAGAAAGTTACCTGTCATAATCAGCAATCTCCGCACCATTGTTGTATGTCACACCTCTATATTCACACTGAGAAAGTTACCTGTCATAGTCAGCAATCTCCGCACCATTCTTGTATGTCACACCTCTATATTCACACTGAGTTACCTGTCATAATCAGCAATCTCCGCACCATTCTTGTATGTCACACCTCTATATTCACACTGAGTTACCTGTCATAATCAGCAATCTCCGCACCATTCTTGTATGTCACACCTCTATATTCACATTGAGAAAGTTACCTGTCATAATCAGCAATCTCCGCACCATTCTTGTATGTCGCACCTCTATATTCACACTGAGTTACCTGTCATAATCAGCAATCTCTGCACCATTGTTGTATGTCACACCTCTATATTCACACTGAGTTACCTGTCATAATCAGCAATCTCTGCACCATTGTTGTACGTCACACCTCTATATTCACACTGAGTTACCTGTCATAATCAGCAATCTCCGCACCATTCTTGTATGTCACACCTCTATATTCACACTGAGTTACCTGTCATAATCAGCAATCTCCGCACCATTCTTGTATGTCACACCTCTATATTCACACTGAGTTACCTGTCATAATCAGCAATCTCCGCACCATTCTTGTATGTCACACCTCTATATTCACACTGAGTTACCTGTCATAATCAGCAATCTCCGCACCATTCTTGTATGTCACACCTCTATATTCACACTGAGTTACCTGTCATAATCAGCAATCTCCGCACCATTCTTGTATGTCACACCTCTATATTCACACTGAGTTACCTGTCATATTCAGCAATCTCCGCACCATTCTTGTATGTCACACCTCTATATTCACACTGAGTTACCTGTCATAATCAGCAATCTCTGCCCCATTCTTGTATGTCACACCTCTATATTCACACTGAGAAAGTTACCTGTCATAGTCAGCAATCTCCGCACCATTCTTGTATGTCACACCTCTATATTCACACTGAGTTACCTGTCATAATCAGCAATCTCTGCACCATTCTTGTATGTCACACCTCTATATTCACACTGAGTTACCTGTCATAATCAGCAATCTCCGCACCATTCTTGTATGTCACACCTCTATATTCACACTGAGTTACCTGTCATAATCAGCAATCTCCGCACCATTCTTGTACGTCACACCTCTATATTCACACTGGTCACATACAGGACAGCAGCCGCTCGAGGCCGGGTTGGAACAGGAAACAGGTGGACATGACACGCTGATGCACTTGACCGACCCCCTCTCACACGTGCACACCCTGCACGGGTCAGTGGGGTCTGGGATGGTCTCCCCATCAATCAGTAAAAATATTCCATAGGTACAATCTAAAGTTGTGACATAATTGCATTTGGTCAATAGTGGTCCAAAGGTACAATCTAAAGTTGCCACACAATTGTATTTGGTCAATAGTGGTTAAAATCTTTATGTAATTTAAAGGGACATTATTTGAGTAACCTTCAGTTTAGCTGCAGGCCAACTTATAATAGTTGCCAGTCGAAATAATTGTATTATAGCACATAAAATGTGTATTATAAAATTAATGAGTTGTTGACCACAAAATATGGGCATCTAATTGCAGTTGTTTTTTTAGCCAATTAAAGGTATTGGCTCAGGAAATTAAATAATTAAATAATATTGTTTTGTTTCCATAGAAAAATACTTGATTCATCCTCTATGCAGATAATATAAATAGACCTAACTTTAAGAATGGTCAATTGAGTAGCTAGGTAAAAAGGACAGGCTGTTGTGAATGCTCTTGTCTTAATACTCTGGTTAAGACTCTTATGTTTGATGAACAAAACATATCATGTGAATTGCTACATGTTCATTTAGTAACCAAACACTTGTACAAATTAAAAAATTAGGATTAGATAAAAGAAACAAAACAAACCTGAGCAGACCTTACAGCAGCCATCATCATAAGGATTAATGCATGAGACAGGCCGACAGGCTCTACGTTTGCAGGTAACATTACCCTGTGGATTAAATCATTTCATTACCTCAACTATTTCAAGCCTTTTAAAAAAATGAATTATTTAAACTTTCTTTAAATAGTTGTTTGTTAAGACAAACGTAATTATTCTTACAGGCATTGAAATAAATTACATAGCAAGCTGTAGTTATAGTTATCATCCTTCACGACTAGCTTCAGCTATCCGGAGTTAGCTATAATATATTTAACCTATCATTCATTGAAATTCTGATCAACTTAGATTCGACCTTGAAACATTTATTGAAATTTTTTTCTTTCTTCAAATATTGATTTTAAAGAATATTATTTTTTAAAATCCTAATTGAGGTATTTTTTTTTTTAATGAAATTTTAAAAAATTAATCAGTTAAAAAATAGATTTCACCTGTCCACAAAGACAATCTTGACATTTGTTTAGCGGGTCGACAAAAGTTGCGCCATCATCATACAATGAATCAGCGTAGATGCAGCGTTTGGGGCAGGCTGGACAACAGGAGCCAGGGACAGGGATGGTGTTAGAGCATGGTAGCACCTCACACTCTATAGGCTTACAAATCACTGACCCAAACTGGTGAGAAGGGGTGGGGATGGGAAGAAATATAATCATTGACAGGTAAAATTAGACAATACATGTTACATATTTTGCTAATATTTTTTTGGCAAATTATTAGTAAATAAAGGGTTATTCTTATTGCTGACAAAGAAAGCCCTTTTATGGCTGTGGAAATTATTTATCCGTATAAAACTTTTAAGCATTACTTCCCTTGTGAACAACATTTGATACTAGTTACTTCCCATAACTGATGTTTAAGTATGGATACTTACATCACAAGAGCATTCCTCACACAGATCTCTGGGGTTAATAAACCTTTGCTGGTTCCTAAAAATGTGGTTCTCATAAAAACAGAAATCACACTTGGGGCAGCAGTCTCCTGGCAACAAGGCAGGATGTAAACACTCCATTTTCTCACACGCAGCTTCTCCACATGTTACTGTCTCATTCTAAAATTTCAAACATATTCATTTTTTTTTCTAAATTATCTTTCAAAGTAATGTTTTTTTTAAATAGCTAAACTTAATGAATATCCAGATATAAGGTCATTATAACTATTCCATTGTGGCATAGCTAAAACCTTTTGGTAATTTGTAATTTTATACCACCTATGGTGTGCTTATAATTAGCAGGCTCAGTAAAACTCACCTGATAATTTGTAATTTTATACCACCTATGGCGTGATTATAATTACCAGATAAAATAAAACTCACCTGGTAATTTGTAATTTTATACCACCTATGGCGTGATTATAATTAGCAGGTGCAGTAAAACTCACCAGATAATTTGTAATTTTATACCACCTATGGTATGATTATAATTAGCAGGCTCAGTAAAACTCACCTGACAGGTGCATTTGGTGCAAGCCACCTTCGGGTGAGGGAATTGTGTCCCCTCTTTGTATTCCCTCCCTTCAAAATCACAGACTTGCCGACATGCTGGGCAGCACTGGCCTGGTACTGGTTTAGGGTGAGCACAGTTTGGCTTTGGGCAGACAACTTGGGTGCAGCTGACAGACCCATCCTAGGAGAAAGTTTGGGAAAAAATGTATGTAGAGGGTTAAAGGTTGAAATTAAAAATCAGGAAATGTGACATTAAGCACACAATTTGGGGGGAGGTCTGGGACATTACCCTCCATCAATTACCCCCCCCCCCCCCCCCCACCCCCGCATTCTGACTCTAACCCAAACCCCAACCACGAACCTATAGCTAACCCTAACCCAAACTCTAAACCTGCATTTAACCCTAACCCTTATCATAGCTCTAACACTAAAGTAAAAAGTTAAGTTCCCTTTTCGAACCTGACGGTCTATAGGGCAAGTGAAGTAGAGTTCACTTGTTTCTGTGACCTCGGCATATGAAGAGATAATGTGGTCAGCAGTATGCCCAGCCACCTTTACTTTCCCTAACACTAACTTATCCATAATTAGGCGGGGGATAATTGACACGGTGTGGGGTAATGTCTGGTGGTGAATTTACGGGAGTGGGGGGGGGGGGGGGGGGGGGGTGGGGGGGTGGATGGTAATGTCCTGCTCCCCAACAGTGTTGTAATGAAGTAGCATGAGTTTACATCTGATTGCTGACCCTTTAGTCTCTAGCTTGGTTTACAACTTTAAATATACATGACATTATCAGGTACATCCCATCTGTGTGGTTACTGACATAGCGCTGACCAAGTACTTCCTTTATATACTGAAGCCAATGAAATGGGAAATCTACTTCATCAATCTTATAATCAGATCCTAATTGATACTTTCTGTACACAACATGACTTTTTTTACACAAATATGTCACACATTTGTGTCACACATTTGTGTCACACATTTATAACAAACAACAGATGGCCAGGTCCTTGCCGTACCTTGCATGTACACATTTCACAGGCATTACTTCCTGTAAACCTCTGACCATTGCGGACATTGTTCCCATCATAGACACAGGAGTCACACCTGGGACAGCACTGATCTTTTCTTCTAGATGGATGAGTGCAGGTCACGGCTGGACAATCACCTCTGACAGACGTGCATGTGACCGCACCAGACTGAAACATGTCCAGATGGCAAATTAAAACAATAAAAAATTGAGCCAAAATATCTTTTAGAGGTGGTATTAGTTTTAATTAAATGTTAAGTCAGTTCAAAGCTGAACTTCATAAAAAGATAATTTCAACTGGCAGAATATTATCTTCAACTTTTTTTTATTGTTTAACAACAATAAATTAATAATATTGCTTATAGTAGGAATTTGATAATTTGAATTGAATTTTTTTTTATTTAAGAGACTAAAATTATCAGTACATATTTTACACAAAACTTTACCTGGCAAAGACATTTCTGGCAAAGATCTGATGCAGGTGTAAACCTGTCACCTTGATTGTAGTCCACACCATGGTAAAGACAGGTGTCACACACAGGACAACACTGACCCTCCACATTTTTTGGTTGTCTGCAGGTGATAGGGGGACAGCGATCTCTTTGGGAGTCACATTTGATCTCACCTGTTAGGTACATACATATCACGGTGACAAAGGTAGATTTTTTCAGATAGATAATTTCATTCAAGGTAACAAAGGTAGGTTTTTAGGGTGGATAATTTCATTCAAGGTAAAAAATATTGACTTTTTTAAGGTAGATAATTTCATTCAAGGTGACCAAGGTAGATCTCTTAATGTCTTTAAAGGATGATAATTTAGCCCAAGTCAGCATAATTAGATACTGATTTTTCATGAGACTGTTATTATTAATTTTGATTATTTGTATATATCTGTTCATGTTATTGGGTTCATGTTTTAAATCTGATAAAATTATCGATTTTAAATAAATTATCGAATATCTACAAATATTTTTTAAAAGCACATCCTACTGCACAAAGTAAAAAAAAAAATTAAAAAAAAATATTTTTCCAGCTGTTTTTCACCAGATAGCCTACACAATCACTTAAAGCTTAGATCTAGAGTTCATAGCGTTATTGTTTAAATCTAAGACAAATAGTCACTGACCAGCCTGACACATTCACTTAGAACTTAGATCTAGAGTTCATAAAGTTATTGTTTAGATCTAGAGTTCATAAAGTTATTGTTTAAATCTAAGACAAATAATCACTGACCAGCATGACATAGGCACTGCGAACATTCATCTTGTGACACCACAGATCCGTCCTGAAACCTTTGACCTTTGAACTGACAACCTGCATAACAAAACACATAATCACTGGCTAAAATATAAAAAAAACTTTGATCTTCTGGAATTAATTTCTAAAGCGATTGATGAAACATTCTAATACTTATTTAAGTCTACCTTACTTATACATAAATTTACTTTAACTCTACCTTACTTGTACACAGAGGCGTAGCGACCCCTCTCGGCGCCTGGGGCGAACTTTCAGTTTGGCGCCCCCCATATATATATATATATATATATATATATATATATATATATATATATATATATATGCGTGTATGTGTGTGCGACAGTCTGGAAAAAAATTAACTATTATGCCAATTAAATTCCCTTTAAGATGCCGAAACGAATAAAAAGAGGTTCGGTAATTCAGTCTCAAAGCTTCCGCGGAGGTCAAGACACACGCCCGACCCATATGAATTATGATCGGATATTTTCTGTGGACGATACAACTATTAAGATGGGTTTGGTGATTGCGCATATGTAACTGGTTGGGTTCTGTTCTCCAAAAAGTTAAGAACCACTGCTTTAGCGTGTATTTTGTAGAAGGTGCAAGCCTTAGTTGGTCTACTTTTGGTCGTATCTTTAGAACAATTTCGATCATTGTAGGCCTATATTACAGTTTTGAATTATCAGTTGAACAAAGTAATAATCAGTACAATACACAAATTTTCTCTCTCAAAATTTTGGCAAAGAGTCTCGCTTCCAATTCACCCGCTCCGACAGTCTGCTATTTTACTTATTGGATAGCGATACAAGAATCCGTTATATTTATTTCTCTTGAATGCAGTGATCCAGGCAAGATGTAACGCAATCAAGTAAAAGTATCTGATCTATCACGATGAAGTTGAGAGAATCGTAAGAATTGTACAAAGAACTAGTCGCGTTATTACTTAGCAAAACTAGGTAGTGAAATCGTACATTAAGTGTTAATACAACTGATTTCTTTTCTAGATCTAAGTGTTAAAAGAGTTATCTAGCAACCGATCCAGTTCAAATCCTGCGATTTTTGTTGGTGAAAAAGCGCCTCACCACCTTGGACAAAATTGGTAGAACGGATTTTAAACGTCACTCTTTTTTGATGTAACACAATGGTAAAATACACTTCAGTTCAATGGGTTTCTTTTCTGAGTGATATCGGTTATTTATTCCTTAATCCGGTGTGAATTTTTCCGATTTTAGGCTTGGAAAAAGCGCCCCCCCCCCCCCCCTCCTGATCTAGGAAAGCTGGAAAGCGTTTTTTTCTGTCACTGTTTCTTAAAGATACACGTTTTTACAGTTACACAATCAAGGTAGAAAAACAGTTAAATCAGTATGCAAAGGCTCACAGCCGTTAATTTGCTTTACTTTGACTGTTTATAATTCAAAACTGCAGCTTAAAATGAGCTTTTAATTTTTTTCTACCCTTTTTGGCGCCCCCCTAGGGTCGGCGCCCGGGGCGGCCGCCCTCCCTGCCCTCCCCTAGCTACGCCTCTGCTTGTACATACATTTACTTTAACTCTACCTTACTTATACATAAATTTACTTTAACTCTACCTTACTTGTACATACATTTACTTTAACCAGGACCTTATTTGTACACAAATTTACTTTAAACTGGACCTTACTTGTACACAAATTTAATTTAACCTGGGCCTTTACTTAAACATGGACCTTACTTGTACACAAATTTACTTTAAATCAAGCTTACTTGTACACAAATTTACTTTAACCAGGACCTTACTTGTACACAAATTTACTTTAACCTGGACCTTACTTGCACACAAATTTACTTTAAACTGGACCTTTACTTTAACCATGACCTTACTTCCACACAAATTTAATTTAATCTGGACCTTACTTGTACACAAATTTACTTTAACTCAGGCTTACTTGTACACAAATTTACTTTAACTCAAGCTTACTTGTACACAAATTTACTTTAACTCAAGCTTACTTGTACACAAAGTTACTTTAATCTGAACCTAACTGTTACACAAATTTGATTTAACTCAGGCTTACTTGTACACAAATTTACTTTAACCTTGACCTTACTTGCACAAACAGGACAGCACTGCCCCTCTGGAACCTCCGTCCTGCCACAGGTCAGGCGTGGACACAGTTGTGACAGATACGACTCCCTGCAGGTCATGTGACCAGCCAGACACCCACATGTGCTGCAGATGTCACCAGAGTGGAAGCTGATGCTGGCATTCTGCTTGATGACCCGCCCTTCATACAGACAATCTGAAAGTAGTGTTTGAACACTTAGTGGGGATGGTTCATTGTTTTTTATAAAACAATGTATGAAATTCAGTATAATTCTACCAAATTTGGTAATATGAAAGAAAAAAAACCCTGATAATTGTACAAGAAGAAATTTTACTTAAGTAATTTTTCTTCACTTTTTGACTTATTATATTGATGGCTTAAAAAAAATATGCTATATATTTAGAATAAAATCTGAAAATGAACACAAGTATTGTCAAGTTATATTTTGCTACAAAAATCCAGTTAAGTTTAATTATGGATGGTAGAGTGTTAACTCAAGAAAGTATAACAACAACTTGCCTGTACACTGAGAGCAACATTCCCCAGGTTTGACCACCCCATGAGAACAGCTGACTGGGCACTTTTGCTTGGGTTGACATGTGACCTTTGAACTTTGACACGTACACACGTCACATGGAGAGATGAGTGACGGCCAGGTTTCCCCTTCCCTGTGCTCAATACCCTGGTCCACACAAGCTGTGTACAAATAATACAACATTCACACGCGTGTGGTTATTGGCTAGGGTTTAAAAGGAGGTTATTTCAACAAACGATAGCTCCATAGTTTAATCTAAATGTTTATCTCATTACTTCCTATAAATAAGGGACGGCATGGTCAAATGGTAGAGCATATGACTGGTAACTCAAAAGTCTAGAGTTTGGATCCTGAGCTCAAGGCCATAAGATATCCATAAGTCCACCCAGTTCGGATGGGTACAAGACTCATGTTAGGGAAAGTAAAGGCTGATAGGCATAGTACTGACCACATTGTATGTCAAGGTCACTAAAACAGGTGATTTCTATCTGCCTCATGTACCCCTAAGTCCAACATGGTATTTTACTTTTTCTTATAAAGAGATGGCAAATGCATACAGAGATTTGAGTAGATACAAAAAAAATGTATAACATACATGTGCACACAGATGGACAACATTCCCCGGGTCTCCTAGTGGGGTATTTGCAGGGGAGGTTAGCAGGATGACAGTGAAATGTTGAACACATGACTCTGGAGTTCCTACAGCTGCAGTTGATACATGGGTTGTACGAGGGTTGGAATATGTCACCGTCTTTATAGGTGATTCCTTCATATTCACAGTCTGAAAAAATCAGGGGAATTATATCAACTTGAATGAAGGTTGGAATGTATCATTATCTGTAAAGCTGATTCCTTCATATACATGTACAGTGTAATAAAATCTAAGCATTATATCAATTTGATTTAAATTTGGTCTGATATGGATACATAATTATATACTTTGTCTGAATAAAATATCCAAAGCAATGAGAAAGATGTAAATGTTGTCAGATAGGAATGTTGTCCACTTTTTATTTCTTTGTGAGAACATACAAAGTTGATATTGTTTCGTAAAACTAGCACACAGAGTAAGAATGAGAAGTTTTGATTAGAAGATGCAAAAACAAACAAGAAAGTTCAGGAGTTAACCAATCCACTCAACAATGGTTTGCTTAGCATTATTTGTGGAGTAGAATGTAGGTTACTTTTAAAATAGATCTAACCCTACAACTGGTGATAATTGTGGACAGCACTAAAGCTATTAAAATTACCTTGACCACAAAGTGGACAACACGTTCCATTAGGTGTGACAGGATGGTCACACTTGACCTGTGGGCAGTCAACCGTGGTGCAGGTGACACTGCCACGGACACACCTGCAGGAGGTGCAGGGGTGGGGGGAGAAGGTATCCCCATCCTGGTAGATGCCAGAGCCATACAAACACCCTGGAAGTAAAAGAGTTTTCTGTTTTTACACGCTTTTATTTTACATACTTCCTTGTGCTTAGTGCTTTAAAATTTTTAATAAAAGTATTCAATATATAATATAGTTACCCAAGCTTTTCTTTATTGTTATTTAAATAGTAGTGCATTATTATAGTAAAGTAAATATTTTGTTTTCTCTTTTTTAGTGTATAATTATATAAAAGCTTGTTCTTAAAACTTTTATTAATTTTTTTTTTAAATGAACCACTCAATTTTTTTCATTATCTTTTCTTATACAATGCTCACAAAAATTAATGTTACTATAAATGGTTTGTAATAGTTACACACTAACACAAATATTCAAGTGAATGTCAAAACTATCAAACATTAAATATTATCTACTTTTTCATTAGAAATTAATTGTATCATTAAAGATAAATATATATATTGCAGCTATTAATATCTGTCAATTAACTTGTAAGCAGATAAATTGCTGAGTCAGCTGATACCCACTAGAACATTCAGGACAGCATTCCCCTGGTGGGGTGTAGGGATTGTCACACTTGGCTGCACACTGGATCTCTTGACACTGGACCCTGCCAGCCTAGGGAGGTCAACATGAAACAACCAATAAGAGAGAATCATCAAAACAGTTGACATGACCTTTGACTCAATCAACACTGGGACATTAAAAAACCATTTTATTAAGTACAAATATTTGATTCTTTACTAGATGATAACATTTGAGAAGGATACAAACAAGATAAGGCGAAAAAAAATCATGATTTAGCTATGAATCATTTGATTATTAATTTTCTTTATTTCAACTGATCTTGTGGTAGGTTTGCTAAGTTATAAAATTTTAAAATATAAGCCCAAATCACACAAGCAATCCACCTAAAGACAACTTTTTTTTATAAAGTTATAAATGAACAGAAATAACATTTAATTTTCTTCAAAAAACAAAACATCACAAACAGTGTCTACCATAAAACTTAGCCTCTGATTATAGGAAGTTAAAAAAAATTACTAAATAAAAACCATACATCAATAATACTGTCTACCATAACACTTAGCATCTGATTATAAAAGTTAAAAATTAAAAAAACAAACAAAAAAAAACACACATCACTAGCACTGCCTACCATAAAAGTTAGCATCTGATTATAAAAGTTAAAAATGTACACGTTAAGATCTCTTGAAAAAGAACTCACATCACAGACACAATCCACACAAGGTCTTGGCTTCCACTTGTCTCCATGCCCACGATCCCCACAATCATTACACACTGGACAACACTGACCCTCAGGCTGTATGACAGTCAGACAGTCCCCCAGGACAGGACAGTCCGGCCCCTTACAGTCAACGTTGCCTCTGTCACAGATGCAGGTAGAGCAGGGGTCATCTGGGTGTTTGAACTGACTGCCAGACAGAACTACCAGACCCTTGTAACTGCACCCTGCAAACATCAAGCAGTCAGTTAAAACATCAATCGGCGCTATTGCATTGTATTTTTTTTAAATCGAGAAGTTATTCATTTACTTCAAAAAATGTGCATTTAAATGAATTTAAATTTATAGTCTAAAATTATGCTAAATTACAAGTCAAGCATAAATTTATATTGCTGTAAATATATGATTAATATATACACTTAAATTAATCTAATTTTAAAGTCTAAAATTATGCTAAATTATATGTCAATCATAAATTTATATAGTTATAAAAATATGATTAATTTAATTTTAAATCTAGTAAAGAGCAAACAAAGATGTAAACATTAGATAATTCACTGTGAGATGACTGACGGACACACTTGAAAAATGTAACCAATTATTCATCAAACTACTGAACACATTTGAGAAGTTTAAAAAAAGAATTACAGATTAAAAAGTTAAGAAAAAACTAAAGTTTGAAAAGTTTACCATAAAAAATTACAGTTTGAAAAGTTTACAGTGAAAAAAAACTACTTGGAAAGTTCACCATGGCAAGATGGACGTTTACCAAGTAAGATATCAAACTACAGTTCACGTTTGAAAAGTTTACCATAAAAAACAATAGTTTGAAAAGTTTACCATAAAAAACCAACAGTTTGAAAAGTTTACCATAAAAAACAACAGTTTGAAAAATTTACCATAAAAAACAACAGTTTGAAAAGTTTACCATAAAAAACTAGTTTGAAAAGTTTACCATAAAAAAGTACAGTTTGAAAAGTTTACCATGGCAAGATGGACAACACTGATCTGGAGTGGACACTGGGTAGTCACATCTTTCAGATGGACACTCTGTTACTAGGCAAGACACTGTCATGTCCTTTGAAATCAAATCAAATAAATACTCTCATAACCAAATCACTTCTAACTTTTATCCTCAATTAATAGTTGGTGCATGAAAAACAAAGATTGTGTGAATATTAGTCAGTTCCTCTGCTCAGTATTAAATTTGATCAATTTAACATCATGACCAACTACAGCTCTGTATATATACATTTGAGTTTTTTATTTCAAAAATAAACTTTAACATTTAGCTTAACATTTGTTTTGTTGCTTATAAATAGAGCAAGGGGAGAGAGTCCTGCCTTATTATAGAATATGGATTAAAACTCAGCCATAAGACACCTATGACCAATCTGTCAGATATTTCAAACTGCCAATACTTCTACTTAAAATGTGCATTAAATTTTTCATTTCCCTCTATAAAATAAAACACACCAACCGTAGTAAAGATAACTTACAAGACACACACAAGAAATACAAGGCCCATCAGACCATGTTTCACCTTCAGATCTCTCCACACCAGTTTTGTCCACACAGCCTGTAAAGCAGATGTATTTTTTTGTCAGGATGTCGTTCATAACTAAAACATTACTAGTATTTCCATGAAAACGCATGAGCTAATATGTGAATGCCTGTTCTTCTTTAAACAGAGCTCAAGATTCCAAAGGCCTCCAGTCTCACCAAGTATAAAAATTGACTAAAATTTTGAAAGATTTAACAAAGTATTTGACCTGAACACTTGAGAGGTTCTCCAGTTATCCCATCATACCACTCCCTGGTGCAGTGACCACATGACTTAGTGCGACACACAGCTGTGGGGTGACCTGTGAAACATTCATTAAGCAAGTAGCTACATTAATCAAACATTGGAATCAAAAGTGTTAATAGCAAAAAAAATAGCCTACATAGACAGAAAAATAAATAGAAAATTAATCCTAATAAAATGAGACCTTGCGTAATTAAAATTTTTTTTAGAACTTTCTTTGTGAAATTAGAAGAAATAGTGCAGAGATCGACTCAAAAATTCAGATCTTGAACTCAAGTCTAAAAGATTTCCCTGAGTCCACCCAGCTCTAATGGGTACCTGACTCAACTTAGGAAAAGCAAATGTGGCAGGGCATAAAACTAACCACTCTAACCCTTCATATATATCTTTGAAACACCTGAACTCTACTTCAACTGCTCTATTGACCATCTTTGCAAGACTAGATTTGTCATGTAAATATTTATCTATTGTTCAATAATGATACAATATTATAATTAGATTCCTACATATAAGCAAAGAATCCTTCAGTTTGGGTCAGCTACTACAATAGTAAATTCGCTGTTATATTTGTCATGTTTTTGTAATAAATTATTAAATTAGCTGCGGCCATAAAATACAACACATGATCACAACTAACCAGGACAGATTCTATCCCCACACAGATCTTGACCACACTGGACATGATGTTCTCCAAGTCTACAGTCAGTGTACATCTCAGTGACTATACACAGCCTAACAGAAACATATTGTTTGAATACTGACATTGTATAATAAATTAAGCCTTGTAGATGCATGAGATACTTAGATTAAGGGAGTTAAAGCCAAATCCAAACAGCACTGATCTATACAGTCAAAATAAATATTATTTAGGCCTATTTATTAAAAAAATAGGGATAGTGTGGACTAGCAGTAGAGCGCTAGACAAGCCCACAAGATTTGAGTTTGTATCTGTAGGATGTCCCCAAATCCAACCAGCTCTGATGGGTACCTGACTCACATTAGGGAAACATAGCAGCTGGGCATAAAGCTGCCAGACTATCTCTTTATATGCCAAGGTTATATGTGTCTTAGTCCCAAACAGAAACAGATGATGATTTAAAAATAAGATCTTAGCAATAGTGTGCAACTATACATGTCACTACATAAATAGTGATGACATTGTTATTGGTAGCATACAATGTTTTGTTAGTTCTTGTTATTCTCCTGCAAATTGACCCAGGCTGTTGACTAACGAAGTTCTACATGTAAAATATTTTATTATCAGTAAATACTTTCTAAAAAGAAGAGCTAACTTGCTTAATAACCTAAGTTGCATAATCTAAGTAGCAGTTAAAAACTAAGTTTACCTGTCATCTGGTGCAACAGGAAGCCAGATCAAGTCAGCTGTGACACTGGTTGTCCTAGGTGAGTACTGTGGATCAAACGAGTGGGTCTGCACTTGGTACTGATAGATTTCATTCAGCCGTGATCTCTGGTAATAGCGGTCCAGCCAGTACTGGTGTATGATATGTTCATAGGGGGGACTCAACGGCTGACAAACTCTTTTAATCCTAGTTATGATGGTTATATTTAGATCCTTCAATGACTTGAACACATAGTGCTTTACTAAGATATGAAAAGGTCCAATGAAGAAGAAGTTGCACGTTTTCCTGTCATAACCCTTTGAATTAAATCCAAAAATATCAAATCCACTTCGATCAAATCCTTCTTTGTTGAATCCGTATATATTGTATCCATAAACATCAAAAGTTTTATTGTCATCTGTAAAGGTGCTATTGATTTGGTATCCGAATGGGGTAACCATGTACTGGTTAAATCCATAACGGTTTAACCCGGACCTATCATAGCCTTGAGCATCAAAGTCATCCAGGTTGTAGGAGTCTTCAAAGAACCCAAACTGGTCAATACCAGACGAATCAAAGCCTGACCTGCTAAATCCTTGTCGGTTATATCCAAACACGTTATAAACCCCACGTGTGTCAGGGTTACCAGAACTATCAAATCCACTAATGTTATATCCATCTTTGTCATATCCCTGACGGTTATATCCGTGTCTGTCATATCCTCTAGAATCATATCCGTAGAAAGGGAGATCACTGCCATTGCACGGAACATCATCATATTCAACACAAACTTTTAGTCTCGAATCAAAAACATCATCTGGTGTAGATTTAAACGGCTCCATTCTGGAATATCTCACATCCAGCGGAAAGCTAAGGAGACCATCTGGATGTCTCTCTTGCCACTCAATCCACAACTTATCCACAAAAGCCATGATGGAGTAAAACAAGGGGTCATAGGGGGCCAGGTCAGAATCCAAATGGCCGCCTACAAAGCTTTGGTAAAGCCTGGTGAAATATTCCATGTGTAGCCGGAATTTATCATATGAAGTCTCCCTTAGGGCCAGCTCAATGTTCACAACTGACGGAAGACTGACAGATGTGTTGAAATTTCTCCGTAGACACGGAAACAGGTATGGTGGATGGTAGGATTTAAATGGGTGGTACCTCACACACCCATCCAGTCCACCATTTCCTCCCATAATGTTAGCAGCCCATATCAATGACTTGTAAGGTTTCCCAGAATCTACAGTCCAATCATAATAAGGTATAGCTACACTGCAGTCAATGTTCTGTATGGCTTGTTCCACATGACGGAGGAACTGACGGTTCCAGGGCAGGAACATGGGGCCACCGACTGCTTGAGGCTTATGGGCAGCATAAAGAGCAGCAAATCTGTACCAGTCAGAAGGGTGGCCAGTTTTTTGAAGCAGGTGTTGGACAGCTTTATGGTATCTAGAGGGAGAATCAAAATTTGAATCTTTAGACAGATAAAACTGTTCATATTACAGTAGTTAATGTCCTGTTATGAGCATTTTTGGCCAAGCATTTAAATTTTAGCCTTACAAGTGAATTATGTAAAACTCAGTCATAAACTAAAACCCATGTAAAAGCTTGGCCATAGTATAGTTCTATTTAAAGACAATAGGGTCTACAGTAAGTCTGTCTAGAAAATTTAAAAGTCTTAGCCTATATTCAATTTTTTATGGTATGTTAAAGGGAAAAGATAAATCTTAAAGAATTAGTAGTAATAATACTTAATGAAAGTAAAATAAAACCGTGTTATAATTAATGTCAGCCTTGGTTTTATTAATTTTCTCAAAAATAATCTGCGGCATTGGTTATAAACAAAATTATTCATGAAATAAAAAACAAACTCATTTTTATATTTAAAAAAAAATTATGACTGACTGTCTTTTATAAACCGGCATCAGGTTCATAAGTTTTATTTTAATGATAATAAGTAAAGAAAACATACCTATTCAACTCATTTTTGGACATGTGACGAATCTCTTTTCTTTTAACTGTAAAGTCACATGTACAGTCCCAGCTTCCCTTCTCAGTACATGTACACATCTGGCAGCCCAGCTCCACCTTCTGGTAGGTTCTGTACTTCTGCCTGCTGTGCTGGCAGCCACAAGAAGCACCACAACCTGACTCTGCACAATGTTTGCCTGCTGTAAACTTCACCACCTCCCTGCCATTTCCTGAGGCAAAAGTTTTCATGCAATGAGTCGTAGCTTTACCTATTGTTATTCACAACAAAAATTCTAATTCTGTCTGACTGATATATAACTTATTATAACAGTAATTTCACTTTTCATGAAAAAATTTTACCATAATTATTTATTGTTTCTAAATCAACATGCTGTATTATTAATTCATAATAAATATTTAATAATAAATATTGCTATATTAATTTAAACAAAATATAAATAAAATAAACTGTAAAGTTTAAAAATTAATGTTTTAAAACAGTTGATGATTATAGATAGAAGTGGCAGAATGTGCATTTACCATGTAACACAGAGTGGGTCAAGGTAATCATTTTATATTATTCCATTGTATGGGGCAGGGGCCTTTTTATTAATATTTTTGTTTTTTAATTTACAATGATTGGATGAATAAAGCAGCTTTAAACAGCTTTAAACTTTAAACAGTTTTTTGTAATGCAGATATTATAACTGTATTTTTAACAAGAACTAATTCCTTAACTTTTCTTAAATCCAAAAGTATTTCTAGTACCAAATATTAGACATCACAAAACACCAACCATGTACAGTAGAACACTGTATATTGTAGTAGCGCCTCTGACTAAACAAAGGACAAACTACATATGGTCTCTGACAGCACAGAATACAACTTTACCAACAGTGGAACAAAAAAATAAACTAACTGGCCTGTTCCTGGCACCAGGCTAGGGTAGCATAGCTACAATTGTAGGTGTAGTCAGCACTGACATGGTACAGGTCAAGGCCATTCCTGAATGTCCCCTGGCATGACAGCCCTGCTCTGATGATAAGAAAATGGAAGCTTGAGAATATAAGATTGTATTGCGTGATTTCATTTTCACAACATTAAACAAACAAGATGTGAACTCTACTTCACTTGCCCCAAGGACTGGCAGGTTTTGAAGGGGGCTTAACTGAAACAAATTAGATATGTCCCCTCATAGAAACACCAGCTAGACATTTCTACACTCATAAACTAGTATACAATAACATACTTATTTCTTGCATTTATACAGAAATGCATAATATTGCATTTAAATTCAAACATATGGTACTTGCGTTCACATAAGCATACAGTATTTGCAGTCACATAAAAATGCATGGTACTTGGTTTCACAAAGAAACATACATTGTACTTGCACTTATACAAAATGTGCATAGTACTTAAGAAGAAACAGTTATGTTACTTTTGATGTATTTAAACACACATAGTACTTAAGAAGAAACAGTTATGGTACTTTTAATGTATTTAAACACACATAGTACTAAAACAGAGACAAATTTAGCACATGCATTCATACAAAAAAGATCATAGTAATTAAACAGAAAAACATGATGCACTCAAACAAGAGCACATTTAGTACTCAGAAAAGCATATTGTACTTAACACTTTAAGCCTTAAACACACTGTACCCTAAGTTCACTTATACACATCACATGAAGACAAAGTTCAGAACTAAAATGAGTAAAACCCAACCTATTGTATCCCTCTTTATCATAGCCATCGGCGTTGAAGTGGACATTGCCATCAAACTGACCAGTGCTGCTGTAGCCTGTGATGTTGAACCCCTGCTCATCATAGCCCTGCCTGTTGTAGCCCGCACGATCCTGGCCAACCCTGGGGTTGAACCCGTCCCTGTCATAACCTGGCCACAAACAACATGTCTATTTCACTGACTGGTCCATGGCCTTATCTAATAAACTTGGCCATTTTTTAAATTTATTAGAAAATTATATGAAAATATAATATATCTGGAGAGAGTTGGAAAGAAATAGAAAAAAAGGTTAACAGAAAAGCATTGAAAGATTTTGTAAATGGCCTATGCTCCACTTGGTATTGATAAAGGTGAAGAAGAAGAATTGGAAAACATGTACAAAAAAGTTGACTACCTTGCCAGTCAAGTCCCTCATGGTTAAATATACCCCTGCCAGTAGCAAAACTGTTGTTCAAAGTTCTTCTCTCACCTAGCAGGTTGATGCCCTCAATGTTAAAGCCATATCTGAAGAACAACAATAGAGATAAAATTTTAAGATCTGATGTCAGAATCAACAATGTATTTAAACTAGTCAAATCACTGCAAACATAATACAGGCACATTGTATTATAATCTTAACTTTAAGGTTAAATTATTAAATCATGTTCAATAGCTATAAATAGCCCTTAATTGTTTATGTGTGCATATGTGTGCATATATTTATGTTTTACTTGACCTAACCATTTCAAATGAACCATTAGGTAACTCATCATTCAATTATGTATTTAGAAAAGATACACTTTTATTTGGCTTATTTTTGTTATTAAGCTACTTTTCTTGAAAAATGTTAAATGTGGTATTAAAGAAACTGAAAAGAAATATAATAAATCAAAAGAATTTTTTGATAAAAAGATTTACTTGTCCCTCCCCTGGCTGTCAAATCCAATGGTCGAATTCAGAAACTTGGGTTGCCTATAGCAACAGGCACCTTTAACACACAGAGCCTGGCAGTCAAGAATGTTCTGGAAGTTGTTGGCGTTGCCCCCACAGCCCAGGTAAACAAATTCTTCACAGCGGCCAGTGCGTTGGTTGTAGTACCAGCGGGGCTCCCTACTGCTGCACGACCCTGTTGGGTAGTGGCCAGTGATTGTTACAATCATTAATGAGCAGTGATTGTTACAATAATTAATAAGCAGTGATTGTTACAATTATTAAGGATTATAACAACCACAAATGAGCTGTGATTGTTCCAATCATTAAAAAGCAGTGATTATTACAATCACTGATTAGCAGTGATTGTTACAATCATTAATGGGAATTGGTTGCTACAATAATTAATAAGCAGTGATTGTTAGAATCATTAATGAGCAGTCAGTATTACAATCATTAATGGAAAGGGATTGTTAAAATAATTAATAAGCAGTGATTACTACAATCATTAATGAGAAATTATAGTTAAAATCATTAATGAAATGTGATTATTGCAATAAAAAAGAGCAGTGTTTGTTACAATCATAAATGAGCAGTGATCATTGCAATCATTAATTGGTTAGTTAATGTTAAAATGTTTTAGCTACAGAGACATAGCTAATGACTACAAAGAATAATGAAATCACTTATGATGCTACCTGTGCTTAGAGGAAAAACACAAGGGTTGATAACTCTATGTTGGCACAACTGGCCAGTAAAATCTGGCAAACAGCTGCACGTGGTCAGATGTGGCTCAGTTGGCCAGATAGACTGCTTGCAGGTTCCTCCATTTTTACATGGGTTTGGGACACAGGGATCTGTAAGGAAATAAATTGTTATACACATGTAGTTCTTTCTTTATTACACCCTGTATTTTGTAACAATCTCTTCTTGATAAGGTATTTAAAAAAAACTAATAAATTATTATAATAAGTTATTATATTAGATGATAGGCAGGTAGCTTAACCAAGAACAAATTATGCATCATAGTACAGCGTATTCTCAGGATAAAGTGGGATGACAAAATCCCTAACAAGAAAAATACGATGAAGGACAGGCTTAAATGACATTAATTCAGAAGTAAGAATGAGGAGATATAGATGGCTGGTTCATGTCCTTTGTATGAACAGAAGAAGACTCCCGAACATAGCACTAAAATGGACTCCACCTCGAAAACGAATGAGGAAGACCACTGGGAACATGGACGAAAGAGATGGAAGAAGTGCAGGCTACTGGCAAGACCTGGCATGAATTAAAGTGGCTTGCCTAAGACAGAGTGGAATGGCGGAGATTTGTTGTTGCCCTATACTCCACAGGGAGTGACGAGGATTAAGTAAGTAAGTAAGTAAGTAAGTAAGTAAATCTTCAAAGTTATTTTCTTAATAACTGTAATTGTTTACTAATTTTAAATATATGATGATACATCCTAATTTTAAAAATTACACAAATTGGTTCTGTTAATTTGTAAATAGGGCCTACAGATGAATTATTTGATGCCAATTTGAAACAGGCCTACTACAAACCAGGAGTATAGGCACAGTCGACTTCCCTCCCTTGGTGAATCCAGACAGGTTTGCAGGTCCCACAAAAGTTGACAGAACACCTGGCGTCAGGGAAGGCTGGGCAGGTGATGTTGTCACAGGGGTTAACCTCGCACACAGCGATGCCGTCTGCACACGGGCAGGGTGACAGGAATGGCTGCGTGTCAAAACAAAAGCTGCTGGATATGCCAGTCTGGAATTCTGGGAGCTCAACAGGAACCAAACCTGATGGAAGTTTATTGGCCAAATAAAAATAAATGTTGGTGTATGTTGATGCTTATAAAAATAAAGAATAAAGACGTTTTATTAAAGGCTACATAATCAAAACCTATTTTTTAAATCAAAATAATTATGAAAAAATTGTTTCAACTATAAATTTTAAAATAGTGTTTTCATAATATGTTTTTTGCATATAAAGAACATTAAAGATATTTCTACTGAAATGTTCTCCTTATGAATGGCATGGAAAAGTAAGCTAAAAAGAAAGGCATATACAATAGCAATTTTGTAAGTTATCATAGGATAGCTGCATTTAATATGGGATGTAATATAAGCAAATTTAACAATAAAATAAAATTTTAAAACACTTTACAAATGCAAGTTTGTTACTTTGTAAATCAAATATTAGCTTTAATTTACTACATAAATCACTGATCCTGAAATAAGTAAAAACATAAACTACTGAGTTTCTGGAACAAATAAAAACATACCAGTAACATCTTTAGTGCTGACTACCCAGCTGATATCCAGCCAATGTGTAGGCAGTGGAGCAAGCCCCGTGCATGTGCGTTTCAGGGACATCAAAAACCTTTTGGGTTGAACCTGAAGAATTGACTGGATCTTGTAGGTTTGGAGAGGGGCGAAGGGACCATTGAAGTAAAAGTCACATCCATCTTTGTCTAGTCCATTCTTGAAGAACCCATACTGGTCCAGGCCTTCACGTGTCACACCTTGTCAGTTCAAAAAATATTCAAAATATCAGAGAAACTCTTTAGCTTAGGTTTCTATAACATTAATCACAAACTAACCAACAGATGGTAACAAAATATATAACAGTTTCTTGTCTATGGTTAAAAAAGCAGTCTCAGACTTTAGAATTTGGACTAAAAACAGTGTTCCTTGTCCTGCAATGTAATGAGTTATTTTCTTTAGACAAGATTGAATGCAACATCAAGTAATTGTAATGTAACAATCTCAAGCTTATTTCCCAGTAATTTCCTGGAGTCCTCTGAAGCAAGGAAAATTAATGCAGCTTTACATTGTGTTGAGCTTAATTCCTTCATTAGGCAGGGTCGTGATAACACATGAACTCTACTTCCTCCTTCATTAGGCAGAGTCATGATAACACATGAACTCTACTTCCTCCTTCATTAGGCAGGGTCATGATAACACATGAACTCTACTTCCTCCTTCATTAAGCTGTGTCGTGATAACACATGAACTCTACTTCCTTTGCCTTGTGGGCCATTAGATTCTACAAAGAAATTTGCTAATGTATGGTCTTGAGTTCAAGTCCTTCATTCTGTAGGGTCATGATAACACATGAACTCTACTTCCTTTGACCCAGGTACCATTAGATTCTTCAGAGAAAATTGCTAATGTATAGTTTTGAGTTCAAGTCCTTCATTCTGTAGGGTCATGATAACACATGAACTCTACTTCCTTTGCCTTGTGGGCCATTAGATTCTACAAAGAAATTTGCTAATGTATGGTCTTGAGTTCAAGTCCTTCATTCTGTAGGGTCATGATAACACATGAACTCTACTTCCTTTGCCTTGTGGGCCATTAGATTCTACAAAGAAATTTGCTAATGTATGGTATTGAGTTCAAGTCCTTCATTCTGTAGGGTCATGATAACACATGAACTCTACTTCCTTTGACCCAGGTAACATTAGATGGGTTATACTACAATGTTCACAGCCCCTTACCTTCACGATTCAAGCAGTGTATATCATAGCCTTCTGCGTCAAATCTTCCACTCTTGTCCTCTTTGCCATCCCTGTCCAAGCCAGTGACATTAAAGCCAAACTGATCGTATCCTGATGAGTTGAGACCATACCGGTTATAGCCTCCCATGTCGTAACCGTTGTGGTCATAACCGTCTCTGTTGTAGGCTTTTCCTTTCATTAACAAACAAATCATTCAATTTTAATTATAAGATCTAATAAAGATTTATATAAGAAAGTTATGGACCTATATTTCATATATAATTAATATACTACAAGATTACTCGGCTTTATGTTTTTTTATAATTATTAGTTTTACAGCTAATGGTAAAGAAATAATGCAAATTAAATGCAAAATCATGTGAAGCTTCAGTAAATAATTGTTCGTTATATCAACACCATGTGACCTTTTGAGAGAGGTATATGACTGAAGAACAGCTGTGCTGAGAGATGGGAATTTAAATTCACCTTTTGGGTGCCTCGCCTTTAAGAAATCCTCCAGGTTAGTTCCATACACCTCACTTGGGTCCATGTCCCCACGTTTTGGTGCGGGGCTTGTTGGAACAGGCTCGGAATCATTACAAGGGCTACCTGTTAAAGCAGGGTTAATAATTCTCAGGTATGTATATTGATAAATGGGATAACTGAAATACTTTTACTCATTCGTCATTTATTTTAATTTTGTTTTAAATATGCTAAATTAATTCCTACCTTTAGATGGCAGGACGTATGATACACATATGCAAAAATTAATTCCCACCTTTAGATGGCAGGACGTATGATACACATATGCAAAAATTAATTCCCACCTTTAGATGGCAGGACGTATGATACACATATGCAAAAATTAATTCCTACCTTTAGAGGGCAGGACGTATGATACACATAAATCAGACTCTGAGTCTAGGACAGCTGATGGTGGAATGTTGAAGGGAATCATGGGAATGTTGCCAAACACTGGGGAGAACTTGAGTTTGTTATCTCCCTTCTGTTGCCAGCTCCAGTACAGCATGTCCACGTACGCATGGACGGCATAAAAAACTGGATCGTATGGGCTGGATGTGGTCATCATGTCTCCTCCAATGAAGTTGTGGATGTACGCCACGTATGTTTCTAGACACAGACTCATGGTGTCAAAGTCATCACTGGCTAGGGCTAGCTGCAGCTCTACCTGTTAGGTAAGTCAGAGGAAAGTTAGCTAAATGTCATTAAATAAAAGTGAATTATTTTTTTAAATAAAATATTTAATGTTTATTTTAAGCATGGTGTAGCAGTTAAGCACTAGACTAACCCACATCCAGGTTAAAGTTAGAACGTCCTTGTGTCCACACAACTCATGTTAGGGAAAGTAAAGGCAGCTGGGAATAGTGCTGACCACGCTATCTCCTCATATGCTGAGGTTACAGAAACAGATGAACTCTACTTTTCTTACCCCATGGACCGTCAGGTTTGAAAAGGGAACTTTACTTACTTATTAGGTAAGAAACAAAAATATAGCTAGCCTTACTCTAGTAAATATATCTAAGTTCAGTCCCAGCTGCAATTGTAATTATTTATTTTTGTTAATACTACGGGACATTATATATTTTTATATACCTGAAAGAGACAACAAAGTTCTTGAGAAAATGTGCAAACAGAAAACGTTGCAACAGAATACTCAAAAATGCACAAATACAAAACTAATTAAACTAATATACTTTAATTTTGTCATATTTCGTGGGAAAATGTTATATTATACTAAAATGTACTTAGTTAACTTTACTTTCTGTTATGCATCTTTCTAGTCACCCCAACAGAGATATTACTTGAAACACTTACCTGAGTAGGCAGCTGAATACTGGTGTTAAAGTTCCTGACAAAACATGGCTGCCAACTGTTCCTGGCACCAAACGGGTGGTCCTCCACACACCTCCCGTCACTGTTCCCCCCAAAGTGATCCGGCTGCCAGACAACGGCATCCTCAAAAAATCCGACATCCGTGGTGAAATCAAAGTAGGGCAGGACAACCTCACAGTCCACTTCCTGGAGCCGCTGCTCTAGCTGTCGCAGGAAGGCTCTCTGCCAGGGTAGGAAGTACGGCCCAGAGGCGTGCATGATGTGGAACATGTACAGGTCCCGGAACTGTTCCCATGTCCTGTCCTGGCTGTGTCTCAGTTCTGCTACAGCTTTTTGAAATCTAGCCAGTTCTGCCTGGGTCATGTCCCGGATTTCTTTTCTGACAGTGACCTTTTCACACCTGAGAAGTAATAAAACAACCAGCTATTACATTTGTTATTAGGTTATCTGACTTGATACAATTGAATTTTCAAAATAGTACTAATAAAATGTACTACAGTTATTGTTATATAATATTAATATTAAAATTGTTTTCCTTTGGATTTTTATTCCAGATTTCAAATAAATGGACCACACAAATAATTTTAAAATGTTATCACAAAATGACCTCATGGAAAGCACTTTAACAATTTTAACCAGCATTAAGTTTATAAGCAAATCAGCTCCTATAACCAAGAAAAAATAACAAGCATACACACAAAGCAAGGCCCATAACTTAAGAAAATATTTTTCTTAAAATAGGGTTTATGTATTGAACAACATCTATGTTGTGTATGATGGGAATGTTTCATCACTGAATTCTAATGCCAGTATAAAGAAATTTGAAATATCCAATGAAAAAACTTACACACATCACACTCTCCCCAGACTCCCAGCATAAAGAAATGTGAAACATCCGATGACAAACTTACACACATCTCACTCTGCCCAGACTCCCAGCATAAAGAAATTTGAAATATACAGTGACAAACTTACACACATCTCACTCTGCCAAGGGCCTCACAAACACAAGCCTGACAGCCCAGGGTGAAGTTGCTGCCTTGCTTGTACTCCCGCTGACCAACGATGCATGACCCCATCGTCTGACATGATGCCTCTGAGCAAGTCAGACCAGGGTTGAAGCTGATGACTTCTGTTTCATACCCCACACCTGTGGGTTGTCTGTGGATGGCTTTACACTCTGATATGTGGGCCTCCTGGTGGGTCAAACATAATTTATTGCATTAACTTTCATGTGGGCTTCCTAGTGAGTCAAAAATTAATGTATAAACTTTTTAACACCTTTAACCAGAAACTTTGTTAAACACGATGATAAAGCATATATTATATTTTGATTATTCTAATTAATAAAATCATAAAGATTTCATTTTATACGTATAGTGGAAAATTATTGTATCAAGACAAAAAGAATTCTAAAATGTGTCCATACATTAACACTTTTAATATTGCCAACAATAAAAAAAAATCATAACATACGTTACAAAATCTTGCTATATAAAATAAAATTATACTATACATTTTAAAAAAGTATTACTGCACTTAATATTCACAACTTCACATTTTAGAAATAAAACTTGTGGATTAAATTTCTATTTTCTATTGTCACATTTTACCTGTGATCAATTAAGTAATACAGTACCAACAACAATAGGTTTTTAAATTTTGAAGCAACAATACACCTATTCTCACAAGTATCTCACCTTACACTCTATATTCAGTTCCTGGATGCTTTTACTTGTGTCAGAGGTATAGGTACGGTAACAACAAGCACCTTTTAAAGTCACTGCTGTACATTCTTCTATGCTGTGGTAGTTGTTGACGTTACCTCCACAACCTACAGTCATTTAAAGATTAACCCTTTAAATAGCAGTTTTATGATTTAGGTATAGGTACGGTAACAGCAAGCACCTTTTAAAGCCACAGCTGTACATTCTTCTATGCTGTGGTAATTGTTGACGTTACCTCCACAACCTACAGTCATTAAAAGATTTACCCTCCAAATAGCAGTTTTAAGATTTAGGATGAAGATGAGATTTAAAACTATCATACAGAACAGATAAATGTAAAGCAAGGTACCAGTTAAAGGTTTGATAGATGGATGTAAAGAGTTTATCTACTTCCATGCTCCCAAAAATAAATGGATTGTGCAGCCAGCACTATGTCAAGCTAAATTTATTTTCCCTGATTTACAAATTCAATTTAGCAAACCCTTTCATTATATGTAGGCCTATGTTATATCCCTCTAGTTAACTGTTTCAAATTATTGCACCTTTACCCTCCCCTCCCAATGACAACCTATGCATAATTTAACAATCAGAAGAATTAGCATATGTCTATTTGTATTTCAGAATAATGAACATTATAATGTCAAGATTAAATAATGTATGACTAATCACACGACTCACCAGAAAACATAAAAGGCAGAGCAGGACTAAACACAGAACTTACCAGAAAACATAAGCAGGACTAAACATGCGACTCACCAGAAAACATAAAAGGCAGGCACTGCTGTGACATCTTGTCGTAGTAGTACCTGACAATCTGCTGGTCACACGTCCCTGGTTCAGCCGGCCAGACACACGGGTTCTGCCTGATCTCACACGTCAGGCCATCATACGGTGGGGGACACTCACACTGGAACTGTGTCATGGCCAAATCTATCTCCAATGTCTTGCACTGGCCATTATTTTGGCAAGGATTGCTTGAGCATGGCTCTGAAAAGATTTTTTTTAAATAATTTTTATTCTGAATTTAATTTATAAGATGCTATAAATTGATATATTAAAAGATATGTATTTATTTTGTTATATATAATAATAATATAATATTTATATTTTATATATTTATGTTCATGATTTTAACTGATATATTGTTTAGGACTTATTCAAGTATAATCTTTAAGCAGTTTTATTCCCCACTAGGATTTGATCCTAGTACCAAAAAAAAGCTACCAGTTTAAGCTCAATAAGAAGTATCACCCCATCTCTACTGCAACTGCTAATCATGAGCGTGTATTCGATTGTCAAGCAGGAGTTATCTCTCTATTGAAAATAACAAATTTAATTGTATAACAGTTTCGGAGTCTTTTCTTAAGATCTGTCCGATGCTGTCAGAAGGGGAGGCTACAGTCACATTAAGTGTGTGTCTAGATTCTTACCTTGACACAGTGGTAGATCAAATCTGTGCTGACAAACTGGTTTGTTCTCCTATCAAACACAATATGCATAATCCATTTTTTTTAAAAATCACAATCATTTAACAATAAAATATTGTGCCTATAACTTTAATAATCAAAGATAGTCATCAAATTTTCCATTCTGACATTTACATGAAATTGCCACTCACCAATAAAGAGGACACTGATACTCACTAATAGAGAAATGCTGACATTCATCAAATACTGACACTCAACAAGAAAACACTGACATTCATGACACACCACAGACTGACACTGACATTCACCAATAGAGAAATGCTGACATTCACCAAATACTGACACTCACCAAACACTGACACTGAAACTCACCAAACACTGAAACTCACCAATAGAGAAATGCTGACATTCACCACATACTTACACTGAAACTCATCAATAGATAAATGCTGACATTCACCAAATACTGACACTGACACTCACCAAACACTGACACTGAAACTCAACAAACACTGAAACTCATCAATAGATAAATGCTGACATTCACCAAATACTGACACTGACACTCACCACATACTGACACTGACACTCACCAATAGAGAAATTTTGACATTCACCAAATACTGACACTGACACTCACCAAACACTGACACTGAATGCACTGGTCAGGTTCCCATAGTTCTCCATCTTGAAAGATGGTGCCATTAAACTCACAAGCAGGGAGACATCTGCAAGTTTCCAGTTGTACCAGTCGCAGTTTTAACCCTTTGTTCTGCGAGACATTGTTAATTTAAAGATGGTTGAAATTAGTCAATTTTAACCCTTTGTTCTGATGTGACAGTGTTAAAGATGGTTGAAATAGGTCAATTTTAACCCTTTGTTCTGATGTTACAGTTGGTAAAGATTGTATTAAGATACATAAGATAAAAATAAGTTTTATCTTTATTAGGCCTAACTGTTTTAAAAAATGTTTGAATTATTTCAAATTTAACTCTTTGTTCTGAAGGAATGGTTAAAAACAAAGATTGTTTAAATAGATAAATTCAAGTGTTATTCAATCAGTAAATTTCTAAATAATTTTCATTATAAACTTTCTGAGTAGTGTCTGTTAGTCTAAATTCTAAATCCTAAATTTAAAGCTAGATTATTTTTTTTATTTATTCATTTATTTTAAGTTTAAGTTTAAGTATTTGGCTTTGGGCCTAGATCTTTATCTATATACTATATTTATAAATCTATTATCTTGTGACTTCTTGTCCTACCATTTTAATTTTATACAGACATATGATAGTACTCAAATACTGAAATAGATCTAGATTCTAGTAAGAAATAGCTATGAAAATAATTGTGTATAAAATAATCTAAAAACGAGGGGGGTCTTGACTTACCTCTGTTTGCAGACTTTCGACAACTCTTGATAATTCCAAAATTTTCTGTTCTAAAGTTTGCATTTTATCACCGATTATCTTCCCTGGTCCTGATAAATCGAGATTTAATATTTCTGCTTCACCGTGAAATCCTTCGTCTCCCGCTGAAAAATCGAAGTAAATAATTCGAAGTTTTTGTTAAATGTAGATCTAGATCTCTATATCTATCGATTTTGAAAACAAATGGTAATTGTATTCATTTTATACATTTATTGCATGTAATGGAGTAATTATGATATTTAACCAGGACGTTTGATAAATGCGATGTAAACAAATCACCAGGGAAATATAACTCTTGAGTACATAATTCGTCTGCTAAAATGAAAATAATTATTGGATGTGATTGTAAAGAAGGAAATACAATTTTATCTTACCCATTTCATGTTGGAGCTGGTGATGACAAAAATTGGATTCGTTGATGGTAGAATAAAGAATGGCTTTTGATACGACACCCTGAAAAATAAAAAATAAATAGTTTTATAAAAATGTCAAAATGAAAATACAATGAAAAACGTAAAGAGCGTCTTCTAATCCACCAGTAAAGGACAACCTATGTACTTATATTGGGGCCGGCAAAATTCACATCAAACTATTTTGGACAACTTTTTACTCCATACCATATAGGCCTACACACAGGAAATCTACTTCATTGCCAATTGGAGCGATAGGTCTAAAGAGGAACCTTTTTATTAACAAACATAGTCCTTCTTGTCGACACAAAAACGGATCCCCTACCCCCCCCCCTTCCGTAAATGACATCATAAGCTTACACTCATCTCACTAAAATAAAAATAAATTCTAACAAAGAATAATCACGTTTTTTTTTTAAACTCTTAAGAACAAAAAAGTGTATGCTACATCATATTTTCAACTCCACTCCCAATTCGCTTGTGGTAAATAATGACGAAAATTAGTCATCCTTCACCCTTGTGCATAACATCATACGTCGACGACGCTAACCTATTGATTAGCTATTACGAGTTTCAAAATCCCATGAAAGGAAAAACCTGAACTGAGTTAGTACAACATTGTCGCGAACAGAGGCGTAGCGACCCTTCCTGGCGCCCGGGGACAAACTTTCAGCTTGGCGCCCCCTCGGGAACAAATTGTCAATTTGCACCCCCCCCCCCCCCTCCCCTCAAACTTTCGATTTGCACCTCCCCTCAACTTTTCGATTTGCACCTCCCCCCTCCCTCAAACTACAAAGATGCAGCTAAAATGACATTTTAATTTGTTTTTACAACCCATTTTGGCGTCCCCTAAGGTCGGCGCCCTGGGACATATGTCCTCCCTGCCCCCCCCCCCCCCCCCCCATCGCTACGCCTCTGCTGTGGAACCAATATTAAAATTACGTTATCAAACCGGGCGATTTATGGGGGCTGATGAAGTTAAGTTCGCCTGCTTCTGTGACCTCGGTATATAGTGTGATCTACACTATGCCCAGTCGCCTTTACTTTCACTAACGTGAGTTAGGTACCCGAAAGAGCTGAGTGGACTCAGTGATGTCCTATGGACTCAAGCCCGGGAACTCGAGACTTTCGGGTTAGAATTCTACCATCCAACCATGCCGTTGAACTAGTAGTAAATAACTTTTGTTTTCCCCACTCGTGCTAGTTTCGTATCGTGTATTTGTTCTGTTGGTATTGTGTTCAGGAAACTAAAACGTCAAAAGATTTGTTGGGAATGATAGGTCATTGTTTTTTTTTAAGTCATAAATATATGACTTAGAACTGGCACCGTTTTCGTGATGCTAGTAAAACATTTCCAAGACTTATAAAAACAGACGTTTTAAGCCGTAGCTAATCGAGGAAGAACATAGAGATACGGTAGGCGCTAAGATAAAACAGTCCAGAAAACGTAAGCAGAAATAGAAAGTAAATATAAACAAGAAGTAGACACTACACATTTAGAATTAAAGAAAACATGAAAAAAGTCACGGAAAGTAGAAAAAATAGTAAAAATAAATAGAAGTAGCCATAAAGAAAAAGTAGAATCTAGATTTAGATATTGAAAAAAAAAGTAGACAACAAGAATAGCAGACAAATAAAAAGTAATAAAGAAACAGACAAAGAAAATGTAAAAATCAATATTCAGAAAAAGTAAATCAAAGTCCGATCACCTCAAATTCATCTTTGATTTTTCGTCTGTTCCAAAAACTAATTTCAGCATCTTCAGGAATGGCGCCAATTTTTTGCCTCAACTCCCAGCTCGCCGTCTGCACACAATCCACGCGCACACTCGCTTCCTTCCCTTTCACGATCATCTCAAACTCGCTCCATTTTTCTTTGGGGAAAACATTATTTACAATGGCCCTCTGGAAGGAGCGGGCTCCCATATATTTTAGCGTTAAAACATTTTTGGGTAAGTTTAGTTTCAGCTCCACATAAGGCAGCGTCTTGCCCGCTTTAGAAACTGTTAGCAGCGCTCCATGGGACTCACGTGATATCTTACCGGAAACGCTGAACAGTAAATTCCCGCGGAAAGTTTTTAAAAACGGTTTGACTTGAGCGTTGGGTGGTTTGATCCCTTGGGACGTTTTTGAAAACCTCCATCCATGAGGTTGCACCTGTTCTACATCCGGGTGTTGCTCCAAATATTCGGGGCTCAGAAAATCTAAAATTAGAAAAAAAAGATGGTATTGCGTTAATTTTTAAATTTCAAATAAAGTTAATAGGTTAACACTAAAACTAAGCTCAGGTTAAGCCAAACAATCTGTTTTTTTTCCTACTGAAATTCGTTCGTCTGATTATGTAAGAAGAATGATGTCAAGGTCGATAATACTCGGTATTTAAGGGTAAATCTTTTCAATGGGAGTTGTTAAATTAGTGGTCAAATTAACGAGCTCAGCACTGCGCACTGTATAAATGTTACGGTATGGCTATAAATAATGAAGAGGTGGGGGCGGGCGGGGGGTGGGGGAATGATGGTTTGCACCAGATGACATCATTTAGGGGTGACAACGGGACGAAAAGTCGTACAATTGGCTGTCAAAAGAATGTTTTATCCGTTAAATAATAAAATACTAGGGGAGAGGTGTGACCAAACCGGAAATGCTATATTGTTGGATGTGGGTGGTGTGACACCCTCAGTTACCGCACCGGGTGACACCGAACTAATGACGCCTCTGAACTTGAACAGGACTGTTTACTAACCCAAGAACAAAAACAGAGGTGGATGGTTGGCCAATGCATTAAAATAAAATTAATTTCTTTAAAACTTATTTTTTATTGTTTTATTTTTCACGAAAACTTCACATCATTAAACCTATAGTGTTTGGGGATTTATTTCTGCAGCTCTCACTCCCGGTTCACGAATTATTTATGAACTTTGAACCTAAATAAACTCCGCACCTAATTTTACTACCTTCAAGGGCAGTTCAATAAATTTCTTTTAATACTTTTATTCTTGTTTCACGATGATCCGAATATATTTTTAAAAACTCTAGCCCGTTGTTTTATTCCAATCCGCTTTGTTTTTCCCACCTATCCAGATATCAGCCTCTTAAAGAAATATATCAATGAAAGTATGAAAGCAGTGCAGGTGACCTTTCGTATACCGGGGCCGGGGATAGTGGTATACACAAATACACCTGGCTTTCACGATGCGGTAACCAGGGCGTCACGTGGCTCTATGGGGAGCGAGCATGGAAGGCATCAAGCGCCACCATCTGTACATGTATCTTTTGTTTTCATTAGCAACATCTGCCCGGCGACGGAAGTTCCAACCCACAGATAAGAAAGGGGAAATTTATTGGGGGATGTTTTCCGACTTCGGTAAATAAAGGTTGTTTTTTTTCTTCGGTTAGAGATTCATGACTGAAATATATTTTACAGGCTCCGAGGTACACGTGTGACCTACTTCAGCCGTTACAGATGTGACCTATTTGACATAATTAAGCCAATACATATTTGATCTAGTCCAACCATTAAATGTGTGACCTAGTTCAGACATTTTCTGACCTTGTCCAGCAAATACACATTTGACCTAGTCAATCCATTCCACAAGTGACCCAAGTCCAGCCATTACACATGTGACCTAGTCCAAACACTACACAAGTGACCTAGTTCAGCTATTACAGATGTGACCTAGTCCAGAGATTACACATTTGACCTAGTCAAGAGATTACACCCTGTGACCTATTTAATTATCTTCTGTCATTTGAAATCAACCAAACATGAGCACTCTGCAAATTATCATTTATTTACACAATATGTCAAGGCTATACAACACATACAACTGTTTCTTGTCAATCCTTTTAGTCGGTACCACGAATCAAGGTTGTATGTGATTTAATTTAAAAAAAACGAAAATGTTAAAGTTAAAGAAAGAATTAATTAAAAGAAAAACAAAAAGGAGAAAAGGGGGAGGAAGCCAGAAAATGTACCACAGCGCAAGATTTTAGACTGCTGGAAGGTAATGAAGCTAGAAAATAAATCACCAACAGGAGTCAAAGCTAAATATAAGACAAAGGCTGGCATGGGCAGCGGGGGGGGGGGGGGGGGAAGAGGGTAGGGACGACTAGTGGTGGAGGAGGGGGAAATTTCAAAAAGCCTGTAATTGGATTTTGGGGTTGAAAACTTAGAAACTTCGGTTTATTCAGTGGTGGAGAGTAGGTGGGGTGCGAAGTTCTTAAGGGGGGAGGGGAGGAGGAGACCACTCGTGTTGTCTACATATAAATAACGGGAACGTCAACATAATCCCACAGACTTTATTACTGTATAAGCAACAACACAAAAATGAACGTAAATATTGAGTGTCTCTACTATTCCGTTTACACGTGCAATGTCTTTTGTATTTTCTTGACACGGACGATACATTCAGGCGCAATTTAAAACAGCAGTGTACTTAAATAGTATATAGAATATAAAGTGTGAGGAAATTATGATTGTGTAGTTTTGGATGGATGTCACGTGTTTAGGAATGGCAGCAACGAAAATGCTATCAATATTGAAGAATGTGATCAGACGATAGCCAATGGTGAGAGATTCTACGATCAATGGCGCGAAAGAATGTGACCAAGGTGAATATAGGGAATGACCAAGGACAGAAGAGAAGATAACCAAAATCAAAAGAGAAAATGACTAAGATAAAAATAGATGTGACCAACTTTAACATAGGATATGACCAAAAGTTAGAGATAACATGAGCAAGGTTTATGAATAATATGTGATGAACTGGTTGTCTCTATACAAACCAAAACACTCGATCAAGTGTGCGAACAAATGTTATCAGCCATCCCATAACTTCCGCTGATAGAAATTTACATTACTGGTTGGGGTGGTAGAGTGCGGAAGGGGGGGGGAGTGGCTCCCCTCGGCCATGTTTGCTGGAGACGACACAGTTATAAACACAGTTCACACGTGTGTGACGTGTTTACGTCTTCTCACACTGCATAAAGTAAACAAAGTCACGTGACTGAGCTGTTTAGTGTAGTTTAACACAGACGTGAGACTTCCGTGTAGCAAATGATTGAGTGCATTCAAACTATTATTTTAAGCAGAGTTGACGTTACTAACTGGTTAGACGTGCCATCCAGCTTTCGAATTTTTTTTAGGGGTATGTGTAAAACCAGTAGCCGATAATGACACAATAATAGAATCTTCTTTTAAAAGGGGTGTTAGATTATTACTGTCAGTTAATCAAATACTATCAAGACTTGCTACTGTAAATTGTATCCCTAATCCAAACCCTACTGTAGCTCCAACCCTAATTTGAAATTTCTGACCATAATACTAAACCTGAAGAAATAGTACTACGAAAAACCTAAAACACCTTTTTTTGGAAGAGTCTATTATTGGACATCGGTAATACCAATACTCAAAATTGTATAATGTTGCATGAAGCTAACCTTAAACCTAACTCTCTATCTAAGATACAGGTATTCATATCTTAGCGGTACTGATTTTCAAGTTAGGGTTAGGTTTAAAGTTTAGACTAGACTATGTTAGATGTCATTGTCCTCCCATCACTTTGATATAACGCGGTACGGCTAAGCCATCTCTACCACCCAATTTACGTTATTTCTGTGTACGAAGCGGCCTCTAGAACAGATGTTTCACGACAACTTGAAATAAGCTCCCATTCACTTGTGACAGGTATTAGTGTGTTATTTATCCTGAAGGTAGCCACGGGCAGATAACTCAGGGCAATAAAACACATGTTTATCCTCCCTTTCCTGTGCATTTCGTGGTTAATTGAGACATAAATACATCAACACTGATAACTCTAAATCTATGCTCACCTAGTACAGGGCCTTGTGTAGTAGACTTGACTTTGTTTATCAGCGGTTCTCGGCCCTGTGTCTGGGTTAGGTCCCCAGACGATATACGAACCGTGGTTAAAAAAATTATCAGGCAGACATATCTCATCAAAGACGGCGCTAATTTGGTGTCTGGTTTCTCCTCGCCGGCCATCTTGGAAGACGTTTTTTCAGCGGAGTCTCGGGTGCAGTTGGGCAAGCGCCATGCCAGTCATCTGAAGAGAGATGAATGGAGAAAATAACAGGAGCGTTAACTCGTGAAGGCCAGCGGCGATGGTGGCCCCTGGTGTGAGATGGTGGAGATAGACTTCCGGAAGTGAGCGAGGCTTGTTTTGACAGCAGCTAGCTCATGCAGAACGTTAAATGTTTAAGGCTCGTTAGGGAATAAACCTGCATTACACATTTCTGGGTGCGGAAAGGGGGGAGGGGGTAACCATATTCAAGGTTTTTAAGTTTCCGGTAAAAATTAGCTTGACTACGCAGACTAACAAGTTGTGTACTGTGTTTGTGATGTTAATCCTGACTTCAAAATACCAAGTTTCAATTCTTTTATTTGGTACTTGAGATTATAGATGTTATCTATCAGTGTGGTTACACATATGTTAATTTAGCCTATCCCGACGTTTATGCTTGCGTTTTAAAAGTATTTTGGAGTCCAGCCTTTTGGGCTAGGTTTAGTCTAAGAGACCATAATGTTCTATGAAAGTTAAATGTTATTGATAGTTGGACATAAGAGTCACAGATTTTAAATAGTCCACCAACATTCTGTTCGGCTTGTAATGTGTATTTAAAATAAGCGAATAGGAAAAGTTTCCTCAATTGTGACACAGCATCATGATAGTTATCAAGTCTTTTCTCTTTTCTTGTAAGTGCAGCAGTAATATGTAATGGTGTGTGTGTGTCTGGAGTGGTGTGTGTGTGTGTTTCCTTACATGTGTAGGTTCTAAGCACATTGACAGTCATCTGGCGCACCTTTTTTTCTTTGTGCACA